CCAAGCACAATCGGTTTATAATAATAATTCACAAAAAGTGCTTTGATGACTAATAATTATTAATTAACCCTTAATTGTAATTAAAGCCTAATTCCTCACTAAGCTTGATTAACCATCTCTAGCTCCAAAACTAATTTTTGTTAGTCCCCTCATTAAAAGCATTTAATGATGTAAACCATTAAATCTAGGTGTAGAAGTATTTATTAACATCCAAACGACCCATTTAAATCACCTTAATGGCTGAAAATCAATCATAGATTTAGACATGGCTTTCACAAAACTTAAGAATTAGGAAAACACACTAATATAGATGGAAGAGTAGTTAAGGCTTACCCAATGATTTCAAAGCTCCAAAACACTCTAAATATATAGTTTACTCTCAATTAAGACCCTCAAAATCTTCTTTAGGAATGAAAACTAATAGCATTCTACAATTTAAAATTTTTATCTCAGCCATCACAGCAAACAGTTCAAAACGAGTAGCTTCACTTAAATTCAAAATTCTAGGATCTCTAATACCTTATTACAAACCCATTAGAGAGTCCAATAGACCTAAATGGCCATCCAAATACTAATAATAACCCTTAATTACTCTAATTAATTAATCAAACCCCTTAATTAATTAATTTAACCTTGGGATTAAAATTTGGAATGTTACAAAAAATACAGAAGAGCTTATGGAACTGGGTTTATTCACTGCTACAGATTAAAGGTTTGAGCATTTGGGAGCTATTTTGGATTATCAATCTTTCATGTAAGCTTCCTAACTTTCTCTTCTACCTTCCCATCTCGTTTTTCTTAGGTTTTGAATAATGGGTAGTTGGATTCTAAGTTGTTGAAACTATGGGTTTGTGTTTAAAGGCTTACATGTGACTTGAGAAGCTTGATTTAAGTTTCCTTACCTTGAATAAGTGTTAACATAAATCCAGGTATTGGATTTAAAGGGTTAAACACCCTAGTTATATTTTAAGAATTTTAAAGTTATGAGAGCCAATTATTAGTGTAAATTAGCTTGTTTATTGTTGAATGAAGATAATGTGAGTGATAATAGCTTCAAATAGCTCAACAATAGAATATATGGGTTGTGGGTATCTAAATTTAAATAAAGAGTACTTATATTAAGTTAGAAAATTGACATATAATACTTAATGATATGGATTATAACAATTTAGAAACTCTTTGAGGTTATATATGCTATTGGAGCTTACGTTTAGCTACAAAGAACCCTTTTGTGTCAAAAGGATTAAAGTAACCAATGATTTATACTATTTATTACCTTGTAAAATTATTTATAAGTTATTTGTGAAATTATATATGATAATGTGTATGCCTTTATAACTGATATAGAGGGAAAAGAAATAAATTTTTGAGAAGATATGTAATGTGTGCTTAAATTATGACTTAATTATAAGATAAATGTATTATTGAATATATGGTTATTACATTAGTACTAAAGCATGATCATTTAAATATAATGCAATTATGTGTAGTATATATGCATGATTATAACGCAAATATTAAAGCATGTTTAGTAAGGGTAGGAGTTCACCTAAGTAAAGTAGTGAGGAAATCTATATGGTTTATTGACACCTTAGGATATCCAATGTAGCTAACATTATCTCTTTAGCACCCAAAAGGGTGTGGCGTTGGACAAAACATTCTTTAGCATCTAAGGGTACAACATTAGAGTAATGATAGCCTAATTATGTATAATAGGAGGAATCTATAATTTAGAAGTGGATTAACATGTCTTTGGCTAGACAATTCTCTCATGAAAGGTGAGTTTGGACCAAACCATTTGGGTTTGGTCTAGTGTGGTAACCTATGGGTTTACTCGGATTAATAGAGGTTCAGATAGATAATATGGTCCAGTGTCCTTTTGAAGAAAACATTGTGAAAATATGCTAAAATAAGAATACAAATATACATTCGTGGATATTAAATGTGTTGCGTTGTAAATATTTAACCTAATAATGAAATATGATGAATTTCATGAAATTGTCCTATTTGTGAAATTGGGGCTGAGTGGTCAAATCTTGAGTATGATGCTTTATTGTGTATATAATTGTTCATTCTGGTACATAATGGTTCATTGGATGTAGTTCAAGCCTTAAAAGAGGTTGATGGTATAAGCATCATGAATTGGGCACTTAGATGTTTGAAAATTTGCTTTAAAATTATCATTTTACATTCGAGTATTTGATCTTGAAATGCGAATTGGATTAGAATAAAACTAATGCCATTAGCTAAATTATTAAATAAGCTTTATATAAGCGCTTGAATCACTCTAATCAGACTTGAATGTGGAAGTTGGTGCATATCAAAAGTTATCCTAGCAAATTGTCATGGCAGCAAAATGCTGTCATGAAAAGCCATGTGTGCCAAAGCATGGTGACATGTTGTGGTGCATAGCATAGATTTGAACGTGCTTCTCTGTGTCATATGCCATGGCGTATGGCACACAAGCCGCTACATATGTTATTGCATAGGCAAAAATGACTTTTTTCCTTTATCTTTCTTATGCGTTATGATTTTATATTTCTTTTTTCTTTTGTTGCTTTTATGAACGTATAGTTTAAGCTGAAACATGTTTTTGAATGATTTTTGGAATTTCATTTTATTTGCAAAACTTCATGTCTATTTTAACCCTTCATATGTAAGGTAAGTTTAGAGGTTTAATGACTTCTAATTATCATTTAATAAGTGTGCTAGTAATGTTAAGGTGAGTATTACCCAGAAGTCAAAGAAGATTGTCAAATGATGCCAAAGATAGTTGACGACGATGAAGAATTGTGTGGTGAAATGCCTCAGGTAAGAGTTTTGGGCTTTAACGAGGTCAAAGAGTACTTGGTCAACAAAAATGACTAACCTCAGGCAATAACAACGTCCTCTGTGAGCCATTGCAGCATGTAGATTAATTTCTTATCTTCACTAAATAAAATAAATAAATAGATATATAGATACACTACTAAAAGATGTTGTAGAGTAAAACAAGCATAGTTAAGCATACCTTCTATTGGTCAAATATAAATATTCATATTTTTTCTTGCATACTTCCAATGTCATATCATACCTTGTAGCAAATAAGAAAACTTCACTAATCATTCTAAGAGAAAAAAGGTAATAAAAGACAGAGCCATTAAAAAAACAAAGTGTATAACTGGGAGGATAAGAGATGTGTATAACAAACACAAAACATATACGAGTTTAATGAGGATAACAAAGTTTAATGTATAATTATTTTTAAAGAATAGAATTTAATGAGGATCACAGAACAGAGACCATGAGTTTGATCAGGGAAATTAAAATCAAATGAACTAGTACAGCTAGTGATATGAGCTAAGTTTTAAAGTTAAGCTTGAGAGTTAAGGAAAATACCTTCACTTCAGCCTTATTTGGGCTGTTCAAATAAGTATAAAAAAATTCAGGCCAATCTCATTTCAAGCACGCATCCTCTTTCTTCTCCACTTAACTTTTTTTCTTCTTTGCTCAGCAAACGGCCACTTTCTCCAACCCAAACCACTCCAGTTCACTCCGAGGCTGCGCCTCTGACTCAGCGTTTTCTTCGGCCTCATATTTGATTTCAAAGCATGACTCACGAGTTGCTCAGCTTCATTGTTTTCTTCTTCCTTCACTGGATCACCTTTACCACTTCAATCTTCTACTTCCTTATTTTTTCCTTGCGTCTCGAATTCTCTCCAACCTCCTCTTAGTGTGGCATTTGTATTTTGTAGCATTATCCCATCTCTGTGAGAAGCTTATGGACGAGACGTCACACAAGGTCAAGGTCTTAGCCCTGGACATTTACAATGATGAGACCAACTGACCAAGCGCCTCTTAAGCTTTTTAAATTTTTAAATTTTTTTATAAGTTAATTTTTAAGTTCAAATTGGCTCAAGAAAGATGTTTTAAGATTTTTTTTAAAAAATAAATTTAAAAAGTTTTGAATATTTAAATTAACCTGAATAAGCCTTTAATAACATTAGAATCGAGCTTAACTATATATATTTATCTTAAAAGTAAGGATATTTTAAATTTGAGCCGAATAAATTCAATTTAAATGAACGTGGTTCGCTACACTACAAATGAGAGTGATCACGCCTTCGGGACGACACATCGAATGCCAGAGGTTGCCTCCTTCGACGATTGTCAGATGATCATTCACTAGCGATGACTTTCCCGATGCCATGGAACGCTCTTTTCCAAGGTCCACCAAGACTTTTCCGGCATCATATTTGTAGGGCCCTTAGGTCCTAATTGTAGTTCGGGGTTTTCTATGCTCTAAAAGATGAGGGTCCGAATCTTTTTATTTTAGGCATTTTGATGACCATTGTAAGAGTGTAGGTTTTTTTTTTTTAGCTTATTAAACAATTCATATCAACATCATTTTCATACATAAACACAAAATTAATGATATTAATTAACATGTCAGCATTACTAAAACTGTTTATACTTTATACTATGTCAATGTCTTGAAAATGCAAGGACTAACATTACAAACAGAGAAAAGTATAATACCTGAAATACCAGAAAAAAAATGCAAAAACCAATACTAAAACCTGAATAAAATGTAGGAACCAAACATAACATTTTTCCATTAATTAATTAATTAATACCTTTAAAATTTGAACTAAATAGTTCAAAACTGCAGTTATGGCGTAGTGGAGACCAAGTCAATAGAAAGAAACCAGGTCTGAAGTTGACAATAAAAGTGGCCAAAAAAATTGAAGATATCTTACCCAAAAACAACCTGAAGATAAGACACAGGTGATGAATTCAACTCCACATGAGCCCCGGTTGTTGAATCCGTTACTGTATTCCCACTTGGCACAATATTGGAGAGGATCTTAACCACTCAAGCAAAAGTATACCAGATCCGCCAGATGCCACAAGCCTCAAATTAAATCCCTAACATTCACCTTATGACTGCCCAGACCAATGAATCCAAATGGCTCGGGCAAGATCAGGCTTAAAAGTCTTTTGGACTATGCGCACAGCCCTTCACTAACACAAATGGTCGTCCTATATTATATTGCGTTACCACTCCTTTCAATTTCCATTGAAATAACGTGGGACTTAAATTCAGATGCCATCATTGTCGTTGTTCCGATGAGGATGCAAATCTTGTACAACCTTTTTTTTTACCTTCAAATGAAATGAATAGATACAAAGTTTTGCCCAAGAAAAAAAAAAATCGAGGAACTTTACAAATTACGACTTAAACATAGGGACAAGCGTTTCAGACATACTCGTTGTCTCAGCCTAATCCTCTAGAATCTGCTGTCGCTCAAGCTCAAGAATGCGCTCGGCCAGAGGAGTCACGGTTCCATTAGTTGTTTTGTTATTGCTTCTACACTGCTGCAGTTGTTCCTGGAGATGCCTTACAAGCTCATTGAGTCTCCGAATGTTCTTCTCTTGCACCAATATAATCTGCAGCAAGAAACATGCATCGATTATCCGATCAAGAATAATGTGGCCTTGTAGTCCATCCTGATAAGTGAGAACTAGCAGCCAAGATTTTAAGCATTTGGAATTTGATATGTGGATATTGTGAATGATATCACTTACCTTGGTCCAGACTTCAATGGAAAATAAATGTTGCCTCCTAACCATTTCCCATCGATTTTTTAACATTTAATGTGAATCCATCATCATTACCAATACATTTAATTCTCCTATATGTGGATAACTTCAACAAACGGGACAATGAGCCACAGCCAAACCTAATTTAATGGAGCCTACCATCTAAGTAGAGCGAGTACTTGGGTCAATAGACTCGCTACTTTCAGCAGCCTAATAGCATTTGGATAGCACATAAAGCATGAGCTGTCACCAATGATGAAAGATTGATATTTTCACCAAGAGATAAACCAAACGCACTGCCAGGAAATTCTTACTCCTATTTCAAGACTTAGGATCCCAACTCATGGATCTCTAGGTTACAAAAATCAAATTAAAAGGGTTAAACCATTTCTTAACTGTCTGGTTTAACAAAAGTTGTTTGCTAGCATATATCATTGTAGTTCAATAATTCAGCGTACTATTTTCTTATTTTATAACATAGAATTTCATATCAAAAGATTTTTTAAAGCTGTGAAATCCGTAAACTGGCTTGACAAAGCTTACTTCAATCTTGAGCGGTGAAGTTTTGTTATAAGCTGACAGGAAGATTTATAGGGCTTTTCTTAATCGTTTTTGAGATTTTTTAATTTCTGGTAAGATAAATTCTTATCCCCACAATAATTTTGAATTTTATTGTTTCATTGGTAATAAAAATGAAAGGTAAAAAAGGGATATAAAGCACAGAACAAGAGCCCTCCTGATGGTTTCCAGGCAAACTCCATACCTTCAATTTCATATTGAAAAGCAACAGATTATCAAACAAAGCAAATGACTAAAGCAATGGCTGGCAAGTGATAAACAGGTGTGCATGTTTTCATACAAAATTGGAATGGATCCACTTCCAAACAAGATCTGTATTGCTGTCTAAGCTTGGCAACAACCAGGATCACCAAGACTGCTGAACCTATAACACAGGGAGTAGGAAATCAAAAAACTTCAGGATGGAAGGGCTACTCCAAGAGCAAGGTTCTAAATTAGATCAAAAGAAATAGTAGACTCAGCAAACAATGCAGCCCTTAGTTCAAGAAACAAATATGGGAGATAAAATGAGAGACATGGAAATGAATAGATTATGAATCCATGCTTCGAATGCACATTCATTGCCAATTTCAATTCTCTTTCAGTTCACTCATCATTTTGTTTTCAGAAGAAAGGCTAAAATAAAACAACCACCTCTCCCCCACTCCAACTAAAGAAAAATTGGACAACCAAGCAATGCAGAAAGAGCATGATCCTGCAGTGTCCAGGGGAAGCAATACAATTACAAACCATTAGACATTCCAGAGTTCATGGGCTGAAGCTGAATAATGAAAAGAATACATCTACCGACAGCATAAGGACAAGCACTAACGTACAAAGAAATCAAGAAAGAGACGCGTGCAGACTGTGATTAAGAGATAATTGAAAAATTATAAATCATCTTTATTGTAGCCACAACTCTTCAAATAATTAGTAATGATTTAATTCTTCAATATTCATAACTAACACCTAAGATTATGCATCATTCAGTTGGAAAAGCAGCTTGTAAGCATGACCCAACAAGATCGTTTGGAGAGATATAATTCCTAACTTATCATAATAATTCAAAGCAAGGGGACGAATCATGTCAGTAGAGAGATTCGGATTTTATTAGTAAAGGAAGGGGTAAAGCTACCATACCTTCTCCTTAACTGTTTCTTCTCTTTTTGAAATCTGGTTCTGCTTTTGAGACACACTGGGATTTGAATCAACCTCAGCCACAAGCTGCTGCTTCCACTCAAACTGAGAAGTGATTATAAGTATGAGCAGCAAGAAAACAAGCAACATAGGCCTCGACATCATTACCAATTACAGACAGAAAACCTGCAGATAACAGCAATTTAATTAATAACAGCAAACAAAACTGCTGAACAGGAAATTGATGAAAAATTCAAAACTCTGATATTTTCTTCCATGATTTTTCCTCGTTTTCAACTGCTCAAAAAATTATGATCCTTTCTGAAACCCACAAAAAATAAAGGAGTGCTGGGCTGATAACTGAAGTATTCTTTACCCATCATTTTGTTCAACGACCAGAAAGAATAAACCCTAAAGGATTTGTGCATTTGTAGAATTGTGACCGAACAAGAATTGAAAAAATAAATGCAGCAATATTCAAATCAAATCACGTCAGAAACAAGAGGGAAGGGGGAAATTCGGAGCTCGCTTTAGGAAAGAAGGCTGTCGTACCAGCGATACCACCAAGTTCTAACATCCATAGCGAAAGTCCCATACCAATGATTTTTTTTTTCTTTTGGGGGCGGGGAGGGCAACACTGTGATTGGCGAACCGTAATATTAGCAATTTGGATTTCCAAACCTTTTGAATACAAAAGTCAACCAGTTAAATCAGGTGAGACATGTTCAAAAAAATTTCAAATTAGGGCCATCTTCTACGCTGGATAATGAAAATATCTACCAACCAGGATCGTTTCCATTTTACGGGGAGTCCCGGAAAGAGGTCAAATGATGATCAATGAAGAACCGCACAGTAGTATTTTTGCATGCAAGGAAAGAAATCATATAAACGAAAGATACTTACAGATCGATGTAGCCGACAAAGCCCTAAATTCATTATCTAAGTGAACTCGAGCTCCTCCGAGGTGATAGAAGACCGACTCGTGATCTGCCAAGAAGTGCTTTGTTCAATCGCAGAGTGAAAAAGACTTGAATTTCCTATCCAGGGCACCTATTGGAACTATCGAACACAAAGAAGTCTAGGGTAACATGATAATCTTCGAAAGTATTTACTTTGTCTTTTGACTGGGTGAAGAATTGGTAACTGCTTGCGGTGGTAACAAGGAGCAGCAAAGGATCGAATCGCATGTAGTTGGGCACATGGTTGTTCCCGTACGATAAAGTTAAAACTCTCATAATGTTGCCACGTCACCTGACCATCGCCGCCCGCGTCGTTGAGGACTGGCAAGCCAATTTCCACATGTTTTGACATAAGTTAAAATTTCAAGGAAAAACGGTTTCCTTTTTTTTTTTTAACACATCATTTTTAAGAAAAATTCTGTTTGATTTACTTTTTCTATTCAAAAATATAAAATATTTTTTAAAAAGTTAAATATTTAAAAATATAAATTATTTTTAATATTTAAAGATATAATCATTGTTTTTTTAAATACCCTCATTGATAATAACTTTATATTTATTATAAGGTGTTTAATAAAAATAAATATAAAAAAATAGAGTTAGTTTGAAAATAGGTATCAACTTTATTAGGAGTGATATTCGATTAAAAATACCTTATATTTTTAAACGGAGCATTTGTTTTAAAAGTATAAAATCATATTAGGCACTATTTTTAATTACAATAATAATTACTAAAATAACTTAAGAATATATTAAAAATATAATTTTTTTACATATTAATATATTTATTTTATATAGCCATCTAATTAAATCATATTTAAATATTGTCAGACCCAATTAATAACTATCTTAAAAGTATTTTTCATTCAATTTTACGAGCCTATGCATGTTATTGTTTTTAATTAAGTGATAGGATGTTTGATTCTTAAAATGTGTTTGGTTGAGAGGTTTTGGATTTCCTCTCCTCTCCCACCATGTTCCTCCCCTACAATTTTGGATTTCTTAGAAAGGAGTTAAAATATTTGACAATATTACCTTTACTTTTTTATTGATATTTCATTAATTTATTAATGTTGCTTATGTTAAAAGACAAAACCTTCCTTCTAGTGTGTGAATAAATATCATATACAAGTCGAGTGTCATGCATCGGGATGATATTAAAAAATTGTTACAATTGAAGGGAGAAGATGAATTGAAACACGAATTTTATGTTTATTCTTTTCTTTTTGTCTATATACTTGCAAAATTCTGATGCCAAGTTATTCAAAGATGAAATAACAAAAAAAAAAAAAAGAATTAAACTTTCCTGTTCTAGCCTTCCTCCCATATGGACATGGAAAAAAATTAAAAAGCAAAGTATGAACATTTAACATCTTGTTCATCCTCTCCCCAAAATTATGAAAGAAGAATAATTAATATACAAGTTATTAATAATTTATAACATTTAAAATTTATAATTTAATTTAATTAAGGAGGAAAAAAATTTTACAAAATAAACAATTTTTAAAAAATAGACTAATATATAGAAAAATAATAATAAATTAATTATTATTTCCCTTCCTTTGCCCTAAACGAAAAAGAGTCTTAGTTTTACTCTCTTTTTTGGGATACTGGTTGGAAGGGCACTCTTCTGGTCACTTAAAAATGTAACAAGAGAATATGTTTGTTTTGCTTTTAATCTCTTAATTATATATGAACTATATATTAATATTAATATTTTTTTATAAAAGGACAAATAATATGTACAATAAAATGAGTTACAACCTAAAGGACCACTAAAACCAAAGTCTAGAGGCTTGTACAAAAAACCATACAAAAAAGTAAAATCCATAAGAAGAAAAAACCAACAACCAAAAGACTCAAATTACAAACTCGATAATACTGAAAACCAAAATTACCAAGAGCTAACATGAGGAAATGCTTGAGTTTGTTAGGCCCAGCTTCTTACAGATGACCATAAGAAATGCCCACGTATAAGCAATAAGTAACTCGTTCAAAAACGGGTCCATTAAAAAGTTTAAAACAGTGAGCCATAAAGCTAATTGATTAATACAAATCCAACTCGTAATAACCAATTATCGAAGAGATATCCCATAGAATTTGAAAGGCCAAAGATGTAAGACGTAGCAGCTTTGGTTTTAAAAGAAGAAGATCTGTAAGAACTAGAACAAAATAACAGACCAAGCAAACATCAATGACAGCCTTCAAAACAAAAACAAGACGCAAACTCAAAAAACTAATAACCAGACAATAAGAAAACAAAAAAAGATGCAGCATCGATCTCATAACCTTCATGACACTACCACCCATGAAGGTCCTCTTGAGAATCATCCATGCATATGGGGTTTTTTTTTGGAAAAAACTCGGGAAACCCAATAGTGAGTGATGACTTTGTTTCTGAGTTAGAAAACAGAGTGTGCGTGCATTTGCGAGAATACAACTTAGAGACATCAGAAGCTCTGAAGTTATTGAGTTGCATGTTGTCGTAATAAGTCTATCCAACCATCCATTTGTGGGCCAAAAGTACAAGGGATGGCATTGTTTCTTTGGGCCAAAATGAAGTCAGAGATGGAGAAAGTAGCAAAGTGTGAAAGTGATAAGTGAAAGAAGCAGAGAAAAAAAGGCCAGTGAAAAAAGAAGTAATTGTTGACGCAGTTACATTAGTGAAACCATCAAATGACATAAGTGATGGTATAAAAAACTCTGTCTGCTTAGCAACCTGTCCTGAAGAGGAGCAATAACAACGTCCAGTTGCTTGTGAAGAAGCTAGATCAGTATAAGGAGGAGACATTTGGAAAATATTGGCTGAGTGTATTTGATCAGGAGAAGAAAATGAATGATCCCGATGCAATTTTCTTTACTTAATTCTTGCTAAATCAAAGTTGTTAGATATATCTTCTAAACTCCGTTCATGACAGCTAAGATGTGGAAGGGCTTCATGCAGCTCGACAATTGTCCCTTTTGAACTGAACACAGAACACCAGTCTTCAACACCTAAGATCCAAGATCTAGAGACTGCAGAACTTGAAGCTAAACATTGTTCCAACTCTAGAGAAAGAGAAATTGGACCATCCTGATTCCTTAATAGCAAAGCTCGCCAATTAAAAACTTCATGTGAATAAACTAATCAATCAAATTTCACTCGGACAAACTCTTCATGCAAGTACTTAAAAAACCAGGATTTTGCAAAGTTGAAAAATAATGAAGAAAAAGATTTAGAACACTGTTGATGAACATGCTCAATTCTATGACAGTCGAAACAAATCCCGTTGGCTCTTTCATAGTAGATTTTGAAGTCAAACTCATAACCATCAAGAAAGGCTAAAACTCCTTATAACTTTAGTGGATGTGATACATCCACAAGAACATGAAATATCATCCCATATAAGCATCTGAAACTGTAATCATCAAAAGATGGAAGAGTACCTATGAAGTTGTTGTGATGAGCACAAGCCTAAAGAGAGAGTCCATCTAAAAAGACTAACACTTTAGGTAGTAAGAGTCTCTTGAACTTATAAACTCCACACCACTTGTGAGGCTCTCAATGTAGGACTTGTGACAATACCGCCCCATCAAAAGCTGAAGTCCCCAGCAACTCCACTTTATTGCACTTCACTTGCCCTCCTACCAATTAAAACTCTTTGTGGGTAGTTCTTTCTGTGACACCGAACTCTTAACAAAAGCAAGCACAAGTCTATAAGGGAGAGCTTATCCTAAAAGACTAGTTTATTAGATGAGAGAGCCCTTTGAACTTATAAACTTCATACTACATGTGAGGCTCCCAATATGGGACTCATGACAGTTGCCAGTTAAAGAAGCAAACTGTTGAGTGTAAAATTGAATTGGCAATCCATATAATTACACCCATAAAGGAGCAAGATGAAAAGAACCCTCCTTGAGACTAATGAAAGGTTGCCAATTTTGAACCACTATCAAACAACCTTTGAGCACCTAAAGACCTCCATTGATAATGCCAGTAAAAGCTACGCAAACAGCAACAGAAGATAAGAAGCATCAACGAATAACCTCTAAAGTTAGAGAGAAAACTCTCCTTTAAGGATTACACTAGAGTTTGTTACTCACATTTCTTTTCGTTAATATTAATAATTAATAATATATACATTGACTTTATTTAAGAACAATTAAGGTATTCAGGTAAAAACTTTGCTGAAGAACAATTTAAGCCCCTGTGTGGTCGAGCAACACAAGGTTATTTACTTATTTTATTTCAACTAATAAAGTAAAATAAAATTCTACAGAGATTGAGAATTTTACGTAAAACCCTAAGCCTTTGAGATTGAATATGAGGATTAATTCAAATTACTGGAAAGTTTTCTAGTATCTAATTGTTTATTTAAGTAGAGATAAATGTTTTCAAGATGTTAGAATGATAATTTAATGCCTGAGGACATGTTTCTTTCATTTTTGAAGGTATTGATTTTGGGACTAATTAAAGAATTTACTTAAAGTGTAGAAGTGTAAGAAGATTTTAGAGACAATTTTTTGGAGAGTTAAGATGTTTTAACCTTAATTTAATACTAAGTGTGGGTTAAGTCTAGACTTCCTAACTCTATAATTAGAATTAATTATTGAATATAGTTGTAAAATTAATGTTATATATTATTAAAATGGTTGTGTTGATTATATTAACAGAAAGAGTAGTGAGAAATTGCATGTCTGGGAGACTTTGATTTATTAGGAGCAAAGATAATCTTTATTAATTTGTTGCAGCAAGTTCTTTGTTATTTATTATGTGTAATTTGTTGAAATGAGATATTATTTGAAAAATTATTACATTATAAAATTGTATATTTGTTGTTTGAAAAATTAATTATCAAGTGGGTTATTATAAACGTAAGTAAATATATGTGGATATGAATGGAATATTTTTGTCCGGAGATATCTTTGTCTAGTTCACCTGAAAACCTACTAGAGATATATTTTGTCTAGATTGAAATGAAAATGTGTTTTTTTTCTAGATTCTTAGTGCATTACTTATTGGGTTATTTTGAACTTGTTCGACAGGGATTTTGTCCTATAGAGATTTATCATATGGTAAGCCCTCTTTAGACCTTATGAGTGACTAATAGCATGAAATAACTCACTTTTGGCTGAGTGACTCAGTCCCGAGCATGGAGTATAGAAGAATTTAGGGTAAGTCATGCACTTCTATTTTTGTTTGGTTATATATATATATATATATATATATCATATGTATGGAAATTGATTTTTACATGCCTGCTTAGCAATCACATGGTTAACTACTTTACATGCATTGTAGCATATTAGATTGGTTACTAAGACCTTCGTGTCTTATCTCTCATGGTCAACGTTTTTACAAGAGTAATTGTAACTAGATGAGCACCAAAGGCACAGATTGGTGTATGAGATATCATCTTTTTATGTTACCTCTTTATTTAGTTTATGCAATGTATATGATGTCAACCTAGGAAGTTTCTGACTTTTTTTGAGCATGTTGACTCTACTGTTGATTAACCATGCGTATATTACTATAAGGATCCTGTCTATCTCTCATGGTTTATAACTGGGCTAGTATGCTTTACCGTGAGGATTCAATTTATCCCTCAGAGTTTAATGGTTCACTTGAAATATTGATGCTGTGATCAATCTTTTGAAAATCTTAAATAGCAATTCATGACATGTTTGTTGTAACATCTTAAGTTTTAAACTTGAAACTTTAATTGTTTAAAAAGGGTAAATTGGTTAAAATATATGATTTATAAATTAATGATGTTTTTGAGACACTAATAGAGTTATTGGATCTTTGGACAGCTTGGGAAAGAAGCTAAGAGTCACAAACTTAATAAAGAAAGTTAAGTAATCGATAAGTCTTGTTAAGATATTAATAAGTATAGTTACGCGATTAATAAGTAACTTAGTTTTGTTACAGGAGTCACATACTTAACAAGAAAAGTTAAGTAATTAATAAGTCTTGTTAAGATATTAACAAGTATAGTTACGCAATTAACAAATAATTTATTTCTGTTGTGGGAATCATGGGGTTAACAAGGAAAGTTAACTAATTAACACGTCTTTTTAAGGTATTAACAAGTAAAATTATACGATTAACAAAAAACGTAATAATCAAGTGGTTTGAAAATAAGGTTTATTATATGTATAATTTTATGTATTATATAATCGAATGAGTTAAGTAGCTTGGTGATCTAAAACTTTTTGGTGAACTAAGGGGTCAAGGGTTCTACCCCACTTTGGCCACCTTTGGAGAATTTAATTTTCTAGCCTCAGCCAATGATGATCCAGCCAGTGGCCGAAATTCCTGTTACAAAGGTCTAGTGGTTGCTGTAGCTAGAGAGGCTTCAGTCCCCACCGGTAGTGCTCTGGCGACGGTGACTGATGGTTTTTTTTTTATATATTTAAAGTAAGAGTATTTTTATCTTTTCTTAATTCAACTCATTTTTAATTTAATCTTTGGAGATTGAATTAAAGTTTTAAAATCTATTGAAACCCATTAAAAAATATATTTTTTTTTGTGTCCTTAAATGAAATTTTCCAAAAGATATGGCACTTTTATATTTATTTTTTTTAAAGTCACATTTCTTTAAAGAATAACTTTATTTACAAATAATATCCTTCCAGTCCCTTTCAAGCTGAGAGCCCGAAAGCGCTTCACCAGGGGTATTTTTGTAGATTTTTTTTTTTTTTTGGGACTAACTGAGCTGTAGTCTGTAGAATAGATTTGAATGATATGTTGATGATTCTGGAACCCTGGCCTCCCCTATTTTGGTAAAGGCATATAGCCGAACCTCACCAGTCCGCTGATTCAGCCTCATTGAAATTTATTTATTTATTTTAATGACTATAAATGGAGTAAAGACGTCATGCAAACAATTGTGTCTGCTGGGCTGAACCATTCCAATACGGCAAGAGACAACGGAGGAGAAACCCCAGGGAAAGGCATGGCGCTTGTAACTACTCAAACTGTCAACGATGGCCCTTTGTTCGCCGAGGTTGATATGGGCTCCGATAACACCACCACCACTGTCCGAGCCACCGTCGTTCAGGCCTCCACCATTTTCTACGATACACCCGCCACTTTAGGTCCGATTTCCTCCCCCTCCTTTTTCTTCAGATGAGCTCTCTGACTGATTGACCTGGATTCTCATATGGATTTCAAACTGTTTGACCCCAAGAAACCCCTGTACTCTGTTTCTTATTTTACTTATAAATGGAGCTTTTTTTAACCCTTGTTTTTGAGTAAAAATGATCGTTTGGGCGCTTGGAATTGCTCCAAGTGAATTGAATGTGTCGTGTGATATGTATATGTCTTGGAGTTATTTGCTTCCTGCTTGAACTATACTGTCGTTTGTTAAAATGTAGATGTTGGACTGCGGGTGAATGATGATTTCTTTTATTGCTGATGATTGTTCAACGTTGAAGCAGATAAGGCTGAGAGGTTGCTGGCTGAAGCCGCAAGCCATGGATCCCAGCTGGTTGTGTTTCCAGAAGCATTTGTGGGTGGCTATCCCCGCGGGTCCAGCTTCGGTGTTGCTGTTGGAAATCGCACGGCTAAGGGTAAAGAGGAGTTCCGCAAGTATCATGCTGCAGCCATTGATGTCCCAGGTAACCTTGTTTTTAATATTTGCTGATACAGCTCCTGTGGATTCCCAACTATTGCCTGTGTAAATTCGATAGAAACATGTCTCCAAGAAAATGTACAGGCATAACACTGAATACATAGAATGTAAAGATAGTTCTGTGTCAATGTTCATGTTTTGGAGCACAAGCAGGATTTTCTAGTTTCGCTTCCATTCCAGATGGTATTGAAATTCTGTTGTTGATAATAGATCAAATAATCAAGCCTCTATCGATTAGCTAGTTGTTAAGTCTACTATTGCTAACAAGGAATAGAATTACTTTGGGCATAGTTTTTAAATTGAAGGGTTAAATGGCAATATGGACCCTAAACTATAGGGCTAAGGGCAATTTGAACCCTAAACTTATATTTGGTATATTTTGAACCATGAACAATTAAACTTGAGACAATCTAACCCCTATTGTTAATTTTATCCCAATGGCCATTATGTGTCCAAAAATTCTCTCCCCTTCTCTTCTTCTCTCTCCCTATTCTCTCGCTCTGTTCCTTCTTCTACACAGATAACAAAAGGCCAGACAGAGAAAATTATAAAGCTGACGAGAAAAGTAGAAATAACAATTCAGTCATGGTGCTGCAACAAAATGGTAAGAAAAGCATTAGCGAGCATTTGACCCAGTTGAACTTGAGCCTTCATGATGAGATGAAGATTATCATGGAAAATGGCAAAACCTTGCATTTTAAGACACTACCTAAGATACTACTTAATTTAAATGCACTTCCCCCCACCAATTTGCTTCATCAAATAGATTAAATTAAAGAATGGCATTGCACACTTTGAACCGACTTGCTCTTTAAAAATCCACATAACAATAGCAGCACTTTCTGCCTCTTTCTCTCAGATACGAGGCAGGATACATATAAGATTATCAGATTCTCTATTTTTTTCCCACTAGAACAGTACAAGCAGTGAAGCCAGTGAGGCTCCTGAGTTCGGTGTCCAGAACACCCCAAGCAAATTCGGCCAAAAATTGGGCGAGAAGGAACAAAAGGGTCAGAAGTCAGAACTAAAATCTACCGATATTTTCATAGGAACCATGTGATGAGCAGCAAAATAATAGAAACTCAGAAAATGAAACTCAGAAAATAAATTCCCTCAGGATATAATCTCACTCATGTTAACTATCCTTTAGGTGATTCATAATCTCATTAATAAAAGCTAAAGAAAAAGAAAAAAAATGAAAAGAGAAAGAGAAAGAGAAACAAACGACTAATTAACTGATACTGATGAACTAATCCTTAAGGTGATTCTTCCCATGGTGGAGGAGAGTGGTGAAGGATGTCAGCGATCCAGAGGACATGGCGGTGTTTGTCGGAGGCAATATGGAGAAGGCAGAACCGAGGAGAGGATAAGCTTTGGAGATGGCAGTATAATTTCCTGTGTCTGGCTTTGTGTTATCTCTGTGGAAGAAGGGGCAGAGCGAGAGAGTAGAGAGTGAGATAAAGAGAGAGGGAGGAGTGAGGTAGAGAGGGAGAGAGAGAATTTTTGAACACATTTGACATTTGAATAAAAGTAACAGTAGGGATTAGATTGTCCCAATTTTAATTATTGAGGATTCAAAATGCACCAAATATGAGTTCAAGGTTTTAATCACCCTTGAACTTATAATTTAGGATCTATATTGCCATTTAACTCTAAATTGAATAGATCAGTGAAACTCTAGCCATACCTTTTTACTAACCTGTATGATGTTGTTGTAGGCCCCGAAGTTGATAGACTGGCGGCAATGGCTGGGAAGTACAAGGTTTATTTGGTGATAGGTGTGATAGAGAGAGATGGCTACACGCTATATTGTACTGTTCTTTTCTTTGATCCTCAAGGTCGTTACCTTGGAAAACACAGAAAAGTTATGCCAACAGCAATGGAGCGGGTTATCTGGGGATTTGGGGATGGATCAACCATCCCAGTTTTCGAAACTCCCCTTGGAAAAATAGGCGCTGCCATTTGCTGGGAGAACAAAATGCCTCTTTTGAGGACAGCCATGTATGCAAAAGGTAGACATTTTTCTGTTAAATTCTGCTGTGTTGTGCCCAAGATGACATATTAACATTGGATGTGAAATATCAGGATAACAAACACTATGATGGCTTGTTTCAGACTACTTGTTTATCACGGGAGATAGTTTTGTTCGGTATAGCTAAACCTATGGAACTCTGTTTCCCAGGTGTTGAGATATATTGTGCACCTACTGCTGATGCTAGGGATGTGTGGCAAGCATCTATGACCCATATTGCTCTTGAAGGTGGATGCTTTGTTCTGTCAGCAAACCAGTTCTGCAGAAGGAGAGATTACCCACCTCCTCCCGAGTATGTTTTCTCAGGCACAGAAGAGGACCTGACACCAGACTCTGTGGTATGTGCTGGGGGCAGCGTCATTATATCACCCTCTGGGGTTGTTCTGGCAGGACCCAATTATGAGGGGGAGGCTCTGATCTCAGCAGATCTTGGTATGTTATGCTACTTGTTTTTTTTTTCTCCCATTCATTCATAAATGCTGATTCAACTACATCACAATGTTCAGCAGCAACTATATGTTTTAGGGCCATACTGTTTTATGGGTAGATGTGATGTCTTTCAAGAAACAATGAAGGAAAGCTATCCAATGCCCTCTTTCCTTTTCCCAAATCAGAACACAGAAAGCATCAAAGTGCATTTAGTTTTTATTTTTTGGGCCAGACACATAATAAAATTAAGAGACTATAGTATTAGTATAATATATGCAATAAAGTTGGATCCGCTGCTTTGTGAAAGATACTGTAGTTGAATTTCGAGAATATTTGATTGATTATTGTGCTGAGTGGAGAGCAAGCTCAAAATGATGGTGCTGGTGAACACAGATCTGGGAGAAATAGCGAGGGCAAAGTTTGATTTTGACGTGGTTGGACACTACTCAAGGCCTGAAGTGCTGAGCTTGACGGTGAGGGACCATCCAACAAACCCAGTTATTTTTGCATCATCTTCAAAATTCGAGGACTCTCAGAAATCATGATCAGCATTTTCTGGATGTTTCCATTTCGGAATTTTTACCCCCATGTGCCGGACGGGGGATATAATATTAGCTTGCACTGTCATTATTGTACGTACTTTTGTACCTGTAATCAATGTATTTGATAAACAAACTATATTATTCGTCAATAATACATCGTATCTTCTACGTTTAGTCCAAAATTTGTGGTGCGTGGCATGAAAGGAGGACTGGAGGAGTGAGGCGTGCTAAACTTCTGTATAAGAATGCAGATCGTAGCGCCTGGATGCTGGATTTCCTAATTCCTAAGGAGACCCTTTTTGAGTGTCACTGAGCGTCAAGTGAAAGGATGTTGTTTTGCATTTTTGTTTTTTTGGGATAGAAATGAGGGCAAAGCCCAATGTTTTGCATTTATGTTTAGTCTCGACCGTCCATGCTATCTCACATTCCGCGTATGCTATCTTAGCAGGCCATAAAAAATTTTGACGGTTCGTTTTCTCTTTGTCTACGAAACCAGATGTCTAGCTGAAACTTTTTTTATAATGTAGGATGTGAATAATAAATTCTTATGACGAGTGGATTTGTATATTTGTATAACTTGTCATGGTGTGTTTTTTTTTTTCTTCAACGAATTAAATTACATGGTGGGATAGATTTGTCATCTGTGCCTTTTATAGTGGTCACAAAATAGTGTGCCTCTTATGAATTTAAAAGGTGTGGATATAGAGATGTCTGAACCGAAAAAGCTTCGTTTCTTCGGTGTTTTGGGTGCTCTGCTGGCAAGAACGGGAAGGTGGGAACTGAAGTAACCGGAGCGTTTCTGAGAAGCAACGCGAGAATAAAATGCTAACGACTAATGGTTCGATGTGTTTGTTTTCTTTACTCGTGATCAAGCGTTTTAGTTTTTATGATAAAACAAGTACCATCTGACAAATTAGTTTTGTGATCAAACTTTTCCGTGAGAAGAATCCGATTCCCTATGATCGGCAAATTGGATGCAACTCATCTTGAATTAAGACGTTTAGGATGCGAACTTACCAAAACGCGGGGACCAAATAAATTTACGACAGAAAAAAAAAAAAACCAATACACAAATATGCGATGAGTAGGGGGGAATATTATTATTGGTAAAGATGTGAAATAGATCGTCCTATGTCACTAGAATGCAGGAATCCATCAGTATCACAAATAGCCTTGGATCAAGATATTTGGTATCATAGCACAGCTCAGCAAGTGATTCATCAGAGCCTCTACCTTCTCATGGAAGACTCTAATAGTTACAGCTTTAAACACATGATATTTCAAGACCCTTCTGACTCTGCTACAGGATGGAAATCTCCACCAAATGGCTACATACGTGTGGACATGGATGCCTCTGTCAATCAACAAGGATATGCTACATGTGGGGGAGCTCTTAGAGATGAACATGGGGATTGGATACTTGGATTCAAACAGGAGTTGGGCAGTGTATCTATCATAGCTGCTGAGATATTAGCTGTTCAAACAGGTTTAGATGTATGTAAACAACAAAACTTCAAAAAGATCAAGATGTTCTCTGACTCTTTGGAAGCAGTGAACATACTTTTCTGAGATGGTGGCAATAACTCAACCCTTAAGAATATAGTGACTCAAATTAAAGAGTTGATATATAGAGATTGGGATCTCATCATAAGCCAGACTTCAAGAGATTTTTTGGGTTATGCTGACTACTTAGCAAAGAATGCTCATGGAGTGGGTGAAGACATCATGCTAATATGGCACTGTTCATCAGACTGTTTTGCTATCTTATTGTCAGACAGGGACGAGTGTAGTCAGCCCTTTTCTTTTCTTTTCAAGCTACTGCTTGCCTTTGTAATAAAAAAAAAAACAAAGAATGCAGTGGAGGGGTTGGATGGTCCTGTGTCACTTGAATGCAATGTAAATGTTGGTATCCAAATGTGGCCGCATTCAATGCTCATCAGGGTTAAGAGCAATTTTGGCATTTCAACCCAAATTGATCCTTAATGTCCATTTAAATTAATTTTTAAATACTTTTAATATTGTATTTATTAAAATAAAAAAATATAAAAAATTTTTATATTAAATTTGGACTATTTAGTGTATATTTAAATGGTTAATTTATAAAAATTATAAATTTTTAATATTAAATTAAATTATCTAAATTATATCTGATCTGTCCAGAGTTTATTTGAACAATCAAATTATAAAATTATCAAAAATTTTAACATTAAATTGAACTGTTAGATTAAATTTTTACTGGTCAAATTAATAATGAACATATTTATTAAAATTTTAAAAATTTTTATAAGATAAACATAATTTTTGACTCATGTACTTTACTTATATTTTGCTTTTCATTCTTATATTTTTTTTAATATTTTAGATCCATACACTTTTATTTTTCCTTTTTGAGCAAAATATAAGAACTTTGAAAGGATCCAAATAATATAAAATAAAAGTGTAGAGACATAAAATATTATAAAAAAGTATAAGAATCAAAAATAAAACATGAATAAAGTATAGAGATCAAAAATTATATTTATCTTTTTTTTATATTAATAAATATAATATTTAAAATATTTAAAATTAATTTAAATGAACTTCAGGGGTCCATTTGAATTGAAATGAAAAGCCAGAATTATCCTTGTCCCTTATGAATGTAAATCGGTATCCAAACAAAAAAACGGCAATGGCATAAGGATTCAGAGGACGGCGTTCAAACGTTTGAATCCTTGGAAGTATCTAATAATGCTCTCTCCATCAGTCTGTCGCGGCCAGAAACTACTGACTCTTTCATTTAAATCTCAGCCATACAGCCGGAATCTCGTTTAGCAGTACTATAGTTGCTCTTATTTTCAGCTCTGGCACCCAACAACTCTCCATTATTTTCTTCTCAAACCATAAAAAATCCTGTCCATGCCACTTTTACCCTCAAGTCTCGCTACCCTGGATTCACAAAAGTTGCTCTTCTCCTTGCAGAATCTTTAAACGAGAAACGATTAACCAGAAGCAAAACTGTTGTATGCTATTCTATTTATTTAATTTAATTACTATATACATTTTCTTGATGCAAACTATTGCGCCAGTGATTGTGACCCTTAAACATATTCAACAGCACGAGTTAACAATTTGGAACAACAATAGTGAGAGCTAGGTATTGTGCTAACTGTCATCTCTTACCGTCCGAACTTTCTTCCCGCAGCTTCTTGAATCAAATCTCCTCTCTCTACGACGACAGAATTATCCTCAGATTCGCCAACTGTATCCTGCAGAAAGAGTGGTTGGCCACATCTCTGATCAGGATTAGCACATGATGTGCTGTCTCGGAAACCCATGATAGACCTGTAGCTCTCAATTTTATCCTTGTCGTCTCGGGGATGAGCTCGTGAAGGCAACCCACTGGATATTTCCTGATCAAGCTCATCAGAAATTTCCTTGATTTCTATACCGAAATCCCTCTTAGTAGAACCGCCATTTCCCTTGTTGAAACAAATACTTGTCCACTGAATTTTCTCGGAGAAAGATTTCCTCCCTATACTTTCTTTGTCCATTGAAACTCTTCCTGAATCGTCTTGAGCATCATTTTCATAAGTATAACTCCATTTGTAGCTTCTATTGTCATTGTCCATGTTTAATTCAATGGAATGGAGATCGCTGTCAGCAGAGTCATCTCCTTCGTGCTCCACTCCATTCCCAACATTCAAATCGTCCTCTTTCCAAGCAGCTTGATATCCCCAACAGGTTTTGTTCAAATCAGATTCAAGTTCCTTTATTTGTTTGAACTCTGGAGAAATATCACCTTTTCCTTCGTCAACCTTAGTACTCCAAAAGGCCTCAAGCTCATTTCTCAACTTTTCGAGGACAGCATTTTTCTCCTCAAATTGATATTTAGCCTCTGAAAGTTTCATTTGAACTCTCTTCTCGCGCAAATCATCAGCCAACTGAAACATTTCCCTCTCCTTTTCCACTTCTTCCCGAACTTTAGCTGACTCCCTTTTCAGTTCTTCGACCTGTGCTCTGTCTTCTTCGATACCTTTAGCTAGTTCATCACAAATTTGCTCCAGAATCTCCTTTGCCCGTTTCTCCCTTTCTAGCTCTTTCGATGCTTTTAAGTGTGAAGCTTTTGCATTAGCCATTTCTTTGGCAATCTTTTTGTTCAACCTTTCAGTTTGCCTTCTTAGCTTCTTCTCCACCTCAAGCTCCTCTGCAATGTGTGTTATCGCATCTCTAACCTTTTCACGTTCTCTTCTTTTCCAAGCAGCCTTTTCTTCTGCAAAACGCTTCATGAGGAACTCAGTATCATTCTGATTTGAGCTCTGTTCTTGAATGAAGTGGTCAATCTGGTTGCAAGCCCGATCAAGTTCACTTCCCAGGGCCAGAATGACGGGTATGCTTGACGAATGCTGCTCTTGAAGGCACATTTGATTTAAAACCTTCAGAAGCTTCTTAGATGTAGATAGGCCACTTCTGGCCTCCTTCAAACGGTTCTTCACTCCTGCTGTGCATTTTCCACAAGTCTTGTTTCTTTGCTGATTCGCTGCCTGCAGTTTGGCATAATTCAGCCTCATGCTTCCCCCGAAAATCAGAAAATAGAAATTAAAAGTAATTTTATCTCAAACGAAAAATCTTTATAGTTTACAGATATCAACTTGAGATTTGCTAAAATGAACAAACTGACAGAATATCCAAGCAATACTACAAGGCCGAGAACAAAATAAATTTCGTACTTAATCATTCAGATCGCATATAGTTTCACGTGAATTTACTAAATATCGCATCAGAACAACAGTTCAGAGTGAAAGGAGAACAGCTGCTTGAACTTAGATTAAGTGACCTATAAGTATGATTTCTGAGTAACTAAGGTTTTGGTTGTTACAAACTTACAGAGTTACAATGTGGTTGAAAACGAAAGAAGGCTAACTATCATCATGCTGATCGAAAAATGATCATTATAAGATAACGTTATTAGACAACTTTGAAAATTTGTAGCCAGCTCGTCTCATGTCATTATGATTGACCACCTTCCACTCCCATATCAGAAAAGCAGAGTTAAATAACTGGAAGATCATTATGAAAATAACGACAAGTACAAGGTCATATGTTTTCTACATTTATCGTACCTCCATGAAACCAGGACTGCTAAGAAAATCGAACCCTCCGGAGTCGTGATCCCCCAGCCGGAGTTTATTAGACACTCTTTTTTTCAATTTTTCACCTTGAATCCCGTTCATCTGCTGCGCCAACCAATTTTACAGCAAGAACAGGAAGTCATGTTAGATGCTATAAACCAATATAAAAAGAGGCCTCAAATGAAAATGCGATGAGGATTCACCTCTGACTTAGGACTGTCCAATGGATCTGACACATGAGACCGCAAGAAGTCCGATCTCGATAAGCTCGTGACTTTCTCTCTGCTTCTCGCCCCCTTGCGTCTCCTCACTTGTTCAGTCTTCAGATCCCTGTCGATCTTCGATGAAGATACATCGTTGATTTCCCACAATGCAGCAGCGAGCTTCCTCGCTGAGACAGAGACGTCGTTATCTTCGCTAGTGAAGCCAGAAGGAGGAGGCAAGGGGCTGGGGAATTTAGCAAGGTGATGGGGGGCGGTAGAAGGGGAGGACGCCGTGCGAGTCTTCCACATGGGTACGGGGGTATTGGAACCTCCTTTCTTGGCAACCAAAAAGGCTCGCTTGAATCGGTATTTGCGTGGGACCAAAGAAGAGGAGGAGGAAGAGGAACGAGCTCGCTTCCTGATCTCGTTGCGATTGTGGAGGGAGGGGCCAGAGGACATAGTGAGGCGAAGGGAGAGGAAAATTCAGGGATAGGGTATGCAGAAGAGGCTAAATTGATGAGGTGGTTTGAACAGCGTGAGGAGGGAAAACAGGTGCGCAGAGTTCATGGGGAGTGGCCTGGAATTCAGCAAACAAAAGTGGGCCAATCAAAGCAGTGGAGATATGATCAGGAGCGAGGAAAGTGGGAAGGTGTGCAGAAATGGAAAAATACGTTAGAGATGGAAAGGAAGGGGAAGGAAGGAGGTCGAATCTATGGCAGAGGGTAGAGTGGTGAGCGGAAAGTTGAGATGGTCAGCAAAATGCGACGGAGGGCTTAAAAAGGACGAGGAGGGAGAGAGAGAGAGGAGGGTGGGAGGCACGCGCGGAGAGGAGCAGATGATGAGGTGCATCGAGGAGGGACATGCATGTTCATCCAAACGAGGGCCATTTCAAGTATTTCATGTTTCTTATTCTATTCAGACCTGCTTCTGTGAATTGATTCGTTTTCAGTCCATGTTCTTTCTTAACCCCCACCCTCAGTGTTCATCCATAAAGAATTCTTTCTTAAATCATTCTCTCTATGGCTTCATCAAAAGATATATCTCTTAATACATCATTTTCTCTTTAATACTTGACTAAATCGTTGCACTTAATTATATGTTTAGAAAAACTAAACCAATATTTAGATTGATTGACTTGTCCGTGATGCATCATGAAAAGTTCAACACAAGGGTTTTACGTTATCCAAACTTTTAGATACAGTAATTTTTTGAGCTCTAATATATCTAAGCTGCTTTTGATGTCTCTGTCACTTCCTATATGGTAGCCCTATATACTTTTTTTTAACCCCAACACTTTTTTTCAAAGAAAAATAAATCCAATCACCTCCCATGTTTTTTTTTTGTGGCACCTCCATCTTATTTTACATCTCACTGAGTTATAACTTAATTCTTAAATTTTAATTTAATTTAAAATAATTTTTATACTTTTAATAATTTAAAATATCAATCTCTATATTTTTAAAAAAATAAAATTATAAGATTTTAATATTTATTTAGACTAAAAGTTTTAGTAATTTAAAATATTAATCCTTAAATTTTAAAATAATTTTAATAATTATAATTTTATTTTCTAGAATATGGGAACCGTTTTTTCAATTATCAAAATTACAGGATACAGTAAATTAAAATTTAAAAATTAAGTTACAATCAAATTAAAACTATAAAAATTTAATTATAACAAGTAAAAATTTATAGATTAAATTATAATTAAGTAAAACTATATTAATTAAATGATTAATTTTCTTTTATTGTTATCACCTTCTTGTATGTATGTTATTATAACATGTTTTTACACACACAAATAACAATAATAAAATTCATAATAATTAATAAATGACATTATTTTTCAATTATTATATAGCTAATCATTATCATTTAACTTCCGTATATTGTGCTATGTAGTTAAATAGCATTTGACTTTCATCTATTTAAAAAAAATGTTAAAGGGAAAATATTTGAAAGTGTATTTACTATTTAGGTGCAAGTATATTCAATGATGATACTTTATATTTGTATAAAATATTGCATTTATCGGTATATACGGAACAAATTTTATTTATCATATGTTAATTAACTTTTTTTACTGTAATAACATAAAAAGTGACTAATTATTTACAGCAAACATATAATAAGGTAACCAAATGAAAAAAAAATACACAAAATTGTTGAGCCCATAATTTTACATCACACAGAAAATATTGATTTTAAATGAAAATAATATAAAATAAACAAATAAACAAATATATGAGAATTAGCGCCGCCTAAGCAAGGCATCCCTCTCTTGGTGGGTGCAATGAATGACGGATAATCAAGGGAGCATGCACCCACATAATTGATCAAACAAAAAGATAATCCCAAGATTCAAGTGAAATTAACTCTAATTTTATTAACAACGGTGCGTCCCAAAAAGGCTATAAGCAGAAGATTTTGCCGCAAAAACGCACGAGTACGAACGAGTAGGAATAATTATTGGATTTGGAGGCTAATCTTCGCTATCTAATCAATCACTGCCCTTCCTTTTAGCACGAGCATGGCCCCCACACAACCTCCTCAAATCATCGCTGGTTTCACTCATAAAATGACTTCTTAACTTATTACCCGAAATCTTAAAAACAATGTGTGCAAGTTAACAATTTTAAAAGAATGAACATGAAAAAAATTACTTAATTAAACACTTTACAAACTCAAACTTTTAGAATTTCCAACTTAGCTTTCGATTTTTTTTAAAAAAAAAATATGTGTTGACATGGACATCTTTTTTAATTGGCAAACTTGGACTTGTTTCATTTCAGATTTCTTCAGAGTGCACCATGTGAATTTTCTTATTTTATTGCTATTAATTAACACATTATCCATATCTTTTCTTACTTTATATATCTCATTTTTCTGATAAAAAAGAAATGCGAAAAACACCAATAAAAAATATGCACATGATCAGTTCCCCCAAATTCACATACTAAATGCTGGCTGCATTGTGGCCACACCACTTGTTCACCCTCTTCCCAAACATGCTGCGTGATTCCATTCCTCCCTTGCTTGCTCAGAGACCAATATTCAAGAGTTCTTTAGTCTGTCAAGTTGAACAATTTCTCAATGAACGTGTTGGAGTTTCCAAGTATCATGATTCATTTTTCAACTCCACACTCATACAGTGAACTGTAACCTGGTATTCTACTATCACGATATAATAAAAATAATTTATCTGCTGATATTTCAAGTTTCAAAGTATGGTAATTAGACGATTAAAGTTCCAAGTCCAACTTCTCAAGACAATTTAAATTTCCCCAAAATGTTAGACCTCCCTTGCTGGCTAAATTCACTAGGTGTTAATCCCACGTCACAAAATATATACATTTTTTTGTCGAAAGTTGCATGGCAGTGGCATGTGGTTGTAGGTCACCGTTGTCTTCTTGTTCGTTTCTTGGAGCCAGCCTGCAGCTTTTTGCTATTATATGGGCCCAATGTATCTCTCCTGAGATCCCCTCCACACATTAGCTCGTCCTTTTTTCCCCCTCTTCGCCAGATAATGATGCTTAGTGTTCATTATTGGTTTGGCAAAGATAAGATCTTTCAATGACATTAATTAAGTTTGAGGAAGAAAGACAAAAGTGAAATTGCATTATTGAGTATTTCGTCTTTCACATGCACAGGTTGTACAAGAGGGGGAGGCTCGTTTTCCATAGAACGTTCTTAATGAGACAACCAAGATGCCACACGTGGCTGATTAAGCCTTTGCCTAAAGTAATGTCTCTTTCTTCTTTTGAAGGCAAAAAAAAGGGGGGGGGGGTTCTGGCATAGGTTGCAGCACTGGCAGGAAACAAGAGTACTTTACGTTACATTGAGAGGAATGTTAAAGGGCGGCATGAGAGGGTATGAGCACAGACAGTACAAAGGAAGGAGATGGAGTCATGGAGATGTAACACGCAGAATTTCTAACAGAATAAAAAAAGAGAAAAAAGTAGCGAATAGAGATACATTAATAGATTACAAGGAGGTGAGAGCCTGAGAGGCACAAAAGCAAAAGGAAAACAGGCCATGAAAGCGGAGGATTCAAAAGTAGTCTTCAGTCCTTCCCTTGAAGCCAATTTGCCCAAAAGTGAGGCACAAGAACAGCCCTAAGTGCCACGTGATCAACCATAGCCTGCTCATAACGAAAAACGCCCGCTTAGCGTAATCCCAGGGTTAAGTATATTATTTATCAAAAAGAAGTTGCATGTAGCCCGGTCCCACGGTCTAGTGGTCAGGACATTGGACTCTAAATTCAGTAACCTGAGTTCAAATCTCGGTGGGACCTCGTAAGATGAACTTCTTTTTCTTCTTGTTTTCATTTTTTATTTATTTAAGTTTTAGTGTTTCTGCCTCAAACAAAAAGTCAGGCCTTCTTATATTCAAAGGAACGGGCTCGAAAGTATTACACTGTTACTGTTTATCTCCTAAAGCCCACCTATTCCTTTCTCCTGACCGGGACAACTTAATAGTTATTTCATGGGTAGTGCTCCCATTCACCCGATCACACACACACACCCACACACTATTATTTCTTGCAAATTTAAAATGACAACTAAAAAATTTTCAATAGAGAAAAACTTCATGATCCTCCAATGATTATGAAATTGAACGCTCTCAATTTTTGTGATCCTTCAGGATCTTCAATTCATTGCACTGCCCCTCTTTTCCACTTTCAAATGCATCGTTCTTCTCTTTTTATGTTTGTATTGCAGGACTAGAGTATGAGCATTATTGACATCTGGACTGTTTTTAATTTACTTAGTTTGTTAAAGGCTGAGAGATTTTCCAGAATGTTATGGTGAACCAAGATTGGATTAGTTGAAGCACAAAACCAATAAGCATGACAATTGAAACCAAAAATAAAGATGAAATATGGATGAAATGAAGTAGGCTTACCAGAACTGTGAAGTGAGAGCAGGAGGGGCAGGGAAGTGAGCGAGCTCAGCCCCAATGCTCTCAAAGAAGAGTCCAGTCAGGCTCTTCCCATTGATTGCGGGTATACTCGATGGAGCTATCCAACCGATCAACCCGAACCCGATCACATTGAAATCCGTCCTCAGCCAATTCCTCTCGAAACTTCTCATTTCCCAACCAACCAACAAACCCACGATTTCATTCTTCAAACCCCGTTTTTACTAAAATATTGAATAAACAATTCAGGTGTTGAGATCAGTAAATTACCACGTAAATCTTCCTCCTGAGGCACCCGCTATTCTCAGAGGGTTCCTTGCCTTCACCGGCGATTTCAGAAACCCTGCAACCAAGCAAGTCGATCATATCCTAATACACATGACCTTAAGTTAAAGTTGACGATTGAAAAAGCGGCGGATTTTAAAGAAGTGACCTGAGGTGAGGCGTGGAGCGGACAACGGCGATATGCTGACGAGTCCTACGACCGTCGATGGGGTGCCGAAGGTGGTTGCCATTTTCGCAATGAGATTTTCTTTACCACAATCGCGATGCGTTAAAACTTAAAATGGTTCTGGCGAACTGTGATTGGTCCAAAATCAAATCCTGCCGTTTCTGATGTACATTCGGATTGCGTGGATGAGGATGCTACTCAATGAAGTTGTGCCACGTCAGTATTTCCAGGATAAAGTTGGGTCCACGGTAACATCATGCGCTTCGGCCTCTTGCTGTGGGCATCCAAGATCGGGTTCTCATTTTCAACATGAATTTGCCAGAGCCTGAGGCCATGAATAGCCTACTGGGCCATCTCAAAATAAATCAGCATTTCTAAAATATGATACGGTTTTTTCTTTTGGGAAAAACCTTTAAGCCCAATTTCCAAGAATATTGACATGTCTTGCAAAGGGTAAATTAAGCGTTTCTAAAATAATTATATTCAATTAACATCGACAATACTTCAATATAATTCAAAGAAATGGTTATGTAAACGTTTTTGAGAAATTACCTGGACAACACCCCAATTTGATCCAAATAAATAGTTCTTTAAAAAAAAATATAGCCAAATCACCAAGATTAACTCAAGTGATAAGAAAGGGATGAAGTGTCTGTAAAGCTCAAGTTTTTAAACTTTATTGACATATAAAAAAATTATAAAAATATTCTAAAATTTTTTATCAGAAGAACCTAGTATTTTTAAAAAAAATTTAAGCTATTTCACTTTGAAATTTTAAAAAATAAAGCTACCTTATCCAATCATTAAATATGGTAAATATTGACAATTAAAATTAAAATTTGACCATTGAAATTTATACCTAGCAATTTTTTTATGTGATCTGTGTACTATCCACGTGGAATATAATTGAACCCATAAATTTTACTTTGACCAGACTCCGAACCGTTCCTTTTGCGTTAGCCAAGGGCCCACCTTCAGAAATTTTACTTCTTTCTTCTCCTTCTTTATTTACAGCGCCGGAGATATTTACTCCAGAAACTCACGTGCCAGAGATCGCAATATCACGTCGGGATGATTTCGGGTCTTCGTGGGTCCTGTGTCGGGTCCGAGACGAGAGATCGAGACAGGGTTTATCCGTTCTGGTTCGTTGCTTCTTCTTGAGTCTTGCCCTGCTACTGTAGTGGTCTATTTTTGTAAGATGCATAAACAATACAACAAACTGGGGGTCTCTTCTGCTGCAGGTGATTAACCATGGGGTGGATTTGGAGGCGGTGAAGAAAATGTCAGAGGCGGCGTATGAGTTCTTCAAGTTGCTGGTGGAGGAGAAGATGAAATTGAAGTTCTGAAAGGAGAGCAGGCAGATCCGCTTTAGGTCTTGGAAAGAGTACAGAGGAAGAGTCATAGACAAGTCAAGTTTCCTTCCCCGATCCCAAACCCGCCAGCAGAAGAGGAGAAAAAACTCGAAGAGAAAGAGAAGCCTGAGCCTAAGGAGAAGAAAGAAGAGGTTTTTTTCTTTTTTTCCCCCTTATTAACATGTTAGCCCCCTTTATCTAGAAGAAAGAAGATGAAATCAAGAAGAAGAATCGGCGGAGCTGGGCCTGAGTAGAATCAACTTGACCTTGTGCTGATTGTATATTCGTTAGTTCAGTTGTTCAATCTCTGCTTCTTTAGTGGCCTATGGTTTTCGGATTATGGGTTATGTGTGTGCTGATCTGATTTCATTTTCAAAAAATTCTGAAGTTCCAAGAGCTTTACTTTGCACCTGCTTCCTCCAATCTAGCCGAATCAAAGTCAAAGACTGGCACGGACTTGAACAAAAGCTGAGGACGCCTCACTTTTTTTTTTTTTCTTATTGACATTTCAGTCCCCTGAGTAGAATCAGTGGAGTTGGACCTGGATAAATCGAAGGTGAGCGTTAAGGGGGTGTTTGAAACGGCAAAGTTCGTTGAAGTCGTGCAACCTGGAGTTCGATTAAGGAGGAAGAAGAAGAGTATAGAAAGAGGTGAAGCCATGGATCAAAGTAAAAATTAACAGTCAAACGTTTTTTTTTTTGTTTTTTTAAAAAATTAATGGTAATAAAAGTTTGTTATTAAGAGATTTCATATATTTTACAAAATATTTTTAAATTTTAAATCATACAAATTGATAATCAAGCAAAAGTTATCAATATAAATTGGAAATAGTCATTATTATCTGGTTGTCAATGTTTTTAATTAAATTATTAATGTGCATGGTTTAAAATTTAAAGGTATTTTATAAAATTTATAAAACTTTTTAATAATAAAATTTTTTCTGATGAGTGAATGTAATTTTTTTTTTTTATGTTTTTTGGCTAAAGTCAAACGCCAGTTCGGTGGCATTGTGTTTTTTTAATTTAGGATGATATTGGTTTAAAAAGAAAAAAGTTTAAGAATTAAGATATAATACTCCTTATCTTTTAATTCTTAAAAAATAATAATAATAAAGTTGGAAACAGAGATTATTGGTGGGAGGGACAATTGCCTCCATGAAAAAGGTAAAAAAATTATTTAAGATTTAATTAAAATTACATTTGTCTCCCCCTTTAAAATTACAACTGTTGTTGTAAAAAATTAATTACCCCACATTCTTTTTAAAATTATCAAGCATATATATTTAAAAATATTATTTACTCTTATATTCATTATTAAAATAAATTTATGATTAAAATGACATTAATATGTATATGGTTAAAGTGTATTTTTTATCCTTTAATTTTGTATAAGGCTTTAATTTAGTCCTTTAATTTTATAAAATATTTTTTCAATCTTCAAATCTCTGTTAGATTGAAATGATTATTTTTCATTTCAATTATAATTATTTTAAAAAATTAACCATATTAGTCAATATTTAAAAATATTTTATTAATCTTTAAAATATTAATATAGGAATTTTTTATTCATAAAATTAATGATGTTAGGGTTAAAGAATTGAATGATATTTTATAAAATTAAGAGATTAAAATAAAATTTTATATAAAATTAAAGTACTAAATGTATATTTTAACTTATATATTTTTTAAACTTTTCATATGATTTATTTATATATTATTTTAATTAATATTTAGAATTATATTTTTTTTGAAAAATATTTATATTTATATTTAAGTATACATTTTTCCCCCTCAATTAAATTTTCCTGGTTTCGTCACTGACCGGGAATATGTGTTGGGTTAAATGGATTTAGTAATAGTCAAATGGGTTGTCTTAAGGAGAAGCCATCTAAAATAAAAACAGATTTTTTTCTTTTTTTAGTTTTGACCATTTGAATTTGTGGGTTAAACGATTCGACCCATTTGACACTCTTTTTGTTGTTTTTTTAACCTGATATCAAACCCAAATTCCAAGCAGCATTCAAATATGGTTATTTTTTTATTACTGATGAATGACCATTTGATTGGGATTGTACATTGCATATTTGAAAACTCTGATTGTATAGTGCTCCTATCAGCTTCATTGATAAGGCAAATTTTAAAAGTTCTATTTGATTCTATTTATAAGTTATGGTATAATTTTTTAAATAATATTTAAAATATATTTTTTAAAATTATCATTCATGAAAAAAAAAGTAACATGATATTATTTTTTAAATTTATTATCTAGTAACATATTCAAAATTCTATACACTTTTATTCCTTATATTTTTTATATTAATATTGATGAAATTGATAGAAGGGAATATGTCACATCATCTAGCCTTATTTGATTTTGTTCCCATTTTTTATTTTTCTAAAAGTCTTTTGTAATAGAAGTTTTAGAATTATTTTTTAAAACAAAACAAAATAAAAATTTGCCTGGTTATATTAATTTAAAATTAATTTTAAAATTAAAAATATAGGCTACTAATAATGGTTTAGATTGTTAATGATATGATTTAGGATAAAAATTAGTCAAACTAGCTATATCTTTCAATAGTCAAATATAATATGTTTTAAAAATAAAAAATAAAATAAAAATAATTTTTCAGATGTTTCCATCTAAAAAAAATAAAACAGTTTTAAAGATAATTAAATGCAAAACATTTATCTATATATCTTTTTTATTTTTTTTAAAAACATTTTTAAAAAAAATAAAAACTAAACAGGTCCTTAAAACTATTTTACAATTCAGTTTTTAGAATTATGTTTCAAAACAAAATAAAATGAAAATACGTTTGAATTTGTTAATTTAAAAAATGTTATAATAAAAAAGTAGATTAATAGTGATAGTTGCATATGATTGATATTAGATTTTTTTATATTAAGTATGCTTAAATATAATATACTCTATCAAAATAAATTAATCTATTTAATTATATACTTCTTAAGCTTATACATGCGTGATTCATCTTTTAATCTTTAAATGTGAGACTTCTTTTATATTTTAATATTTTTTTATTACCTTTTTTCTTATTTTTATCATTTCTTTTTCACAGGCTTGTACTTTTTTTTTAATCTCAAGGGCAACAGATCTATTTAATTTCTTCTTATTTTTCTTCTCTTTCTATCTTTCTTTTTTTAATCTCTTGTTATTTTTTTTTCATCTTTCATCTTTTCTTTTCATTTTCCTCCATCTCTCTCTCTCTCTTTTGTTTTTTTTTTCCCGATGAAATGACTTATAATTTTTTTTATATTAAGTATACTTAAAGATAATATATTTTATAAAAATAACTTAAACTATTTGATTAAATATTTCATAAGTTATGTATTTATAATATATCTTTTAATCTTTAGATGTATAACTTCTTTTATATTCTAATAATTAATAGTGGTGATTTATGATAAAAATTTGTCAAATTAATTATAATTTTTAATAATCAAATACAGTATATTTAAAAAAATTAAATAAAATAAAAACCATTAAAGTTGTTTCTTTTTTTTATTTTTAAAAATAAAAATAAAAATAGTTTTGGAAACAATTAAATTCAGAACAGTTATCCTTTTTTTTTTTTAAATTATAGAAAACAAACAACCCCTTAATTCCTTGTTTTGTGATTGTGATTTTCTTTTTTTTTTTTTGGGGGAAGCACAAGCAAATGAGTACGAAGCAAAGGAAGGAAGTGGCGTGAGCGTGATCGTGATCGTGATCGTGAATTAAGAACTAAGTTAACGCATGATATGCTCTGGAGAAAATTTAAGATTAAATGATGAGTATTACGTGACATATAAATTTAAAGTTGATTACCAGATCAGTTTTAAGGTTTCAAGATTATTAAAATTAATAAAAAATTGTTTGAGTCTGTTGGTTGAGTTGGGAAAATCTCAACCTCTTACAAAAATTGATCGACCCAGCTCCGCTCAATTCATACCTCGACTGAGACAACGGTGAAAAAGAAAACACAGGATGCGGACAAGTGGTGACTCGAGAAGTGAAATCGCTGGCGTACGATGGAGGATGTTAAGTTGTTGACCTCTTAGATCCTCAGCGGACAACTTCAGATGAGTGCCATATCATATGTATGGCTTGTGATTGTATTTGTCACTTAAATTTGGAGTTCAACCATAATAATAATGACCTCAAGCTTTCAATTTTCTTCTTTTCCCACTCCACGTCCACTCAGACCTGCAAATCACTCTTTCAAATTTGAATACTGATATGAGCGTGACGCAACATCAGTCCATTGACACCAGAATCTTTTGAACCAATGTATGATACGAAAAATCAAATTTTGATAAAACATATAGTTATATTATACTGATAATGAAAGATCAGCTGGGAAAGTTCCACATGATAATGAAATAATATCATCGAAATAAACGCAGAAGGGTCCGCGGCTTTGGAACGCAGGATCCGGAGACGGGTGCTTTGCGGTTTGATGGTTTTAGAGTCAAGTTATGAAGTTAACGTCCAATAAGGCCCAGCACCCAAGTCCTCCCTGTCGTTTTCTCCGATTCCTTCAGTCGTTTGACCCTCTGGTCCAACACGGCTTCCCACGCCCGCACGGCTCTTCTATTGCGATGTCCTCTCTGCGTTGCGCGCAAATCAATTTGCCTCCCCGCCTTGCAATCTGCTCTGTGGCCGATCCACGTCCCCATTTTTAAGGCCGAAACATCTCACACTTTGGCACATCCCATTGACAACACAAACTCAAATCTTGTTTGCTCCGATTTTTGTTCACATTTTTTTGTAAAGGGTTTAAGTTACATTTGGTTGATTCAAATAGCGAAACTGAGTCTCTAGTTAATGACTGAATGAAGCTGCGCCAAAAAGGGAACCGTAATGTGTTTCATCAATGCAATGTTTAGCTGCCTGTTACTCTAGTTAATGAGCGAATGAAGTTGCACCAAAAAGTAGATGGTCGATTAAATGTGCTATGTAACATTATCTTTCTGTTGGATTTAATCTACGGTCATTAACCCGGCATGTTTTGTTTCGAGCCTTGCTACTTGCAATTCCAGGCTAAGAGTGTCACGTGCCGACATTGAAGGCCTTGCCTCCTCTGCTTTTTCTGGACTCTCAGTAAATATTGTAGAAGATGAAAGAATTCACTGCTATGCGTTGCTGCATTGATTGCTAATTACACTATTCATCCAACTATTTCTTTCTGTTACGTTAGGACTCAGAACAGCATAAACGAGCAAAAGAATAAAAAAACAACGATGATAACCATGACTGAAATCATGTCCATCGCTTTCTCTATCCTCTGCTTCCTCTCCCTCCTCTGTCTCTTCATCCGCAAGAATTTCTCATATCTCCCTTTTGCTTCCTCTCGGCTCACCTTTTTCCTCTCCGCATTCTCCATCGCACCCTGCAGAATCCCCAGACTCTCCTTCCCGCTCAGGTTTTTTCCTTCCATATCCTCCACCGTCAAGCTCGCTCCCCTCACGTGCATCTCCCCTCCAACCTTCCCGCAGCACGTGACCTTTATCGTGCACTGCACCCACTCCGGTGTCTTCTGATCACGCGCCACCGTCACCGCGTACAGTATCTCCAGGTCCCTAGTCAACCAGTGCCGCTGCACGGAAACCGGCCTCCTGCTGGATAGATTCACCGATCGCTTCCGGGTCGGGTCGATCAGGATCCAGCTCAGACTCAGGTTATCCTCCAGGTGCTTCAGCCACTCCTCGTCTTTCGGTACGTATTTAACGGGAGTCGGCACAAATTCTTTCGGTTGGAGCAGGTCGACCCACAGAGGCGAACAGAGGAACCAGCTTGTTTGCGAATCGGTGCGCTGAACTTTGGAGAAGATGGGCGTGTCCTTGTAGTACATATCGACGGCGGAAATTAATTCCCCGGAGGGAGAAGGACGGTACAATTGCTTCGTCTTGGAAGGAAGAGCATCGAGAGAAGGGAAGGAATCGTAAAAAATGGCACGGTGACCGTTGGGGAAGGCGGAGATGACATCGCGCACGGACGGGTCGTCGAGAGAGGGCCACGTGGCCGTGCAGATATTCTTCCAGATATCATCTTCGGTGCAGAGACGGCGTAACTGAGCTGACGCACATGCGGCGGAAGCGAGAGTCGGGCCATCGAGTCGAGTGAGGATGTGAGTCTGAATCACGTCAGAGTGGATGGTGGATATGGAAGAACCGGCGCCACCATCGACGGTGGAAACCTCTGATGCTGAAGGCGGATCCATCGTAACGTCAAGAACAGATTTGAATGTTAGAATACAGGAAGATGTGATCAGGTCGCGACACCGAGGGGGGTGTGGAATGCAAATGGCTTTTTATAGCGCTAAATAAGCATAGTAAAAGTACAAAAAAACAAACAAACAAACCAAAACCAAAACAAAAACAAAAAAAGAAAAGCCACGTGGAGTAGTCAAGTCAACACTGGCTGTCAGCTCAAAACTAAACATTATTCAAAGATCAAAGCAGTTTTCCCAGTACTTTACCTTCGATGGAGCCATCCTGGACATTTCGTTTAATGTAACAACTTTTATTTTAGAATTAACAAAAAAAAGAAGTCCGCTTTACTAACGAAATAGAGATCAGATAACCAGGAACAATTTGACCATTACATTTATGTCACTTTCTCATTTTACTTACTTACTTTTTTTTTTAAAACGCGGTGTAGTTTAATCGGTAATGCATGTGTTAATCCTTACTTGTCAATAAAAATATAAGTCCAATTTTGCTCCCAAACCTGGTAAATTATCGTTGTTTATAATGGATTACCTTCTCATAAAAGTGCAAGCTGCGTAACAAATCTTGTAATACAATCACCGTATAATTCCGATCAAGAATCTTCCATTCAAAATCTCCATAGAATCTTATATAGGCCGTGAAATTATACATGATAGATCAACCAAATTGATTGATTGATAAAATGGTCATTTGATTTTGGGTAATTATGAGAAAACCCGGTTGGGTTGTCAGGCTGAGGCCGGTTGACTGGTCGAGATAAAAAGACACAGTTTTGGAGGCAGAGCCGGCTTAATTAACATTTAATTGAAAAGCTAATGCATACTTTTTATATATAAAATATTTTTAATTAAATCATAAAAATTAATAAAAATTAGTGATATAGTTAAAAGCACAATAACATTTTAATTTTATTTTTAATTATTGTAAATAAAAATAATTTTTTTAAAAGTAAATTAATGAGAGTATTTATTTTTTTTAATTTAATAAAAATATAATGATTCATTTATTAAAAAAATGTTCATAATTTTTTATATTTAAGAATAAAATTTTTTTAAAAAATTTTTTATATATAAAAATGAAGAGAGAGTTATTATTAAAGTAATAAGCCGCCCTGGAAGGCATGAGGATGACGTGTTCATTTATCTGATCCATTTATCGGCCGTGGCACGCTGGCTAATCATTGCGGATCAGAGGTTGTGCGGCACATCATTATTGATTCATTTTATGGAGTGCATGGGTTTTATCCCTTCTTGTTTATTTGTGCGTGACTGTAATTATATATACGCTCAGTCCTCTTTACAAAGAAAATTCTAAATTTGATTCCCAGTTCGTCTTAGAATATTGTAATTTTTGTCACGTGTTTTTGTGTATGATGAAATATTTGAACGGATCAATGTGATAAATAACGAACTCGTGCCGTGCTTGCATGTTCTCCGTTCTTTCAAAATAGCAGGGTAATAACTACCGGAGAAAAGTAAATTGGAAATTAATAACCGGAACTGCATGATTAACAAAGTATATACTGTATACTGAGAGAAAAATCACCGCCTTAATGTTATGGGCACTTGAGCCAGGATACTGTGATCATTTACCAAATCAAACACTTAAGGTGTAATCAACAATTTCCATCTCGTAACAGTCTAGATTGCGAACATACAATTGAACAAGATCACCAAACATTGATTTGGATTAAAATAAAGTTCAATTATTTGAAACTTATCTTGTTTTATCTTTTTGGGCAGACTTTTAAAACTCAAAGAAGGTCATTTTTTCTTTGTTGACGAAGGAGCAGTGACAGTGTGATCTATTGGTTTAAAATCTGAATTCCATGCCATCACTTTATTGTTAATTTAAAGCATATTTAATCCTAATAATAGTTAATTTACATCACCAGACAAGCCCCATTTGATTTACACGTTTGGCCACCGTCCATGCCTTCTCATCGTTTGTACTTTGTGTGATTCGGAACTAATTGGAACCCATGTCTATACTGGATCATACCCATGCGAATGCTTATATGGTCATTAATAAAAAACATAAGCATGTAATTAAAATTGTAGGAATTCCCTTCACTTGTTGAAGGCCACCCGTTAAATCTTGTCACTCGCGCGTCTTTTTTGCCCCACAGCTAGTCTTGTCACTTTTGATTGTAACAGGTAATTATCGAACTATATAGATGATTCATCATCATCATCATCATCAAGACGTTAGATGTGATACAGAAATATTTATGTACGCCTCACCAATCACCATATATGCTTTTAGCATTGAAGCTAATAATCACGGGTGGTTATTAAGAGATGGAGATGCAATTGGCATGGGCAATGCAGGGGCATTATATCAGGAGACGCAATTAACGGAAGGTGGGGTCATATTTTCAGAGAGAGGGGGGTATGCTGTTCAAAAACCCCCCCAACTTTAATGGGTGCCATATTTGACATAAGTGAATAATATAATACTCCTTTCATTAAAAAGTATAATATATTTTTAATTTATTAAAATATAATTTTTAATTTTTTTAAAAAATATTCTTATTAAATAAATTATTTTATATTTATTTTAAGATAAAATATCCTATTAAATAAAAATAAATATAAAAAAATATAATTAATTTAAAAATAAATAATTATTTTATTAAAGTAAAATTTAATTAAAAATATTTTATATTTATAAATGAAGGGGTACATACATGTTCATTAATTAAAACTGTTAATAACAGTGTAGCCAAGAATTGGCTCTTGTGTTAGCGATTAGACCTTTAATCTGAATTTAGTGTGCATTATTAGGGGAAAAAGTTACATTACTTATCACATTTGCCAAAATTGTCCCCAAAAAGCCACAACAAAACCTGCATTTCTTGTTGTCTGTGCCAAAAATATACCCCTATTTTTATATATAAAATATTTTTAATTGAATCATATAAATTAATAAAAAAATAATTATCTAATTAAAAATATTAAAAATATTTTAATTTTATTCTTAATTATTATAAATAAAAAATAATTTTTTAAATAAATTAATGAAAGTATTTATATTTTTTTCTTTTTAATTTTATAAGGATATTGTAATTCATTTATTAAAAAATATGTTAACAATCTTTTATATTTAAAGGTAAAAAATATTTTAAAAAGCTTTTTATATATAAGTATGGAGGGAGTATATTCCTCAACCGACAGTCGATGGCAAATTAATTAATTTCTTTTTAACGTAGAAATTAGTTTGCTTCTCCTAATAGAACATTTTTCATACGCACAATCAAGAGTCGAATCCCTGCTAACATTTTTTAAAAATTCAATTATTTGCCAGCTGCAGAGGATGTTGTTTATTTTCTAATACGAGAGTATCTTTATAATTATGTGATCGGTCACTTTTCTTTCTTTTATCTTTTTTTTTTCATACTTATCCAAATATAAGAGGACAACATGTTTTTTCTCTCCATATTTCACCTCCTTCCATTTTTCTGGCCTTATCCAAACTGCAACGCGATGATTCGAATTTAATGAGCATATATATGTGTATATATATATATAAGGGAAAAGCAAGCTAATGAATGAAGCTGAAGCTAGGGGTAGGAGTGGAAATTACCCTGTGGCTTCCGTTTACAATCCATTCGTCTCCTTCAACGACACTGAAACTGCCTTTTTATTCTTGTTCTTATCTTCGACCTCACGTTCTCGTCCCTCTATGGGCCCGAAGCTATAATATTAAACACTACACTTTCTTAACAACTGTTGACGTCTAAGGTTGTGGGCTTGGTTTAGTGGTCCTGGGGATTAAAAAATCCATTCCATATTAAATATTAATATATATATATATATATATATATATAGCTTGCCTCGTGGATCAACTAATTCGGTTTAATATTCTGATTTTTATTCTACTACTGTGGATCAACTAATTTGGTTTAATATGCTGATTTTTATTCTACAACTGTTCTCTGTCCTTTTAATCCTCGGCTGGTACCGAAATTTTCAAATGGAAGGTTCAAACTTCAAAGTGCAAATCATAATCATGCGAAGATTACTTTTAATAAGTTTTAATTAAAATCAGTTCATAAATTAAATTGATTCATGATCTAGTTTGCACAGATCGACACTCCATTGATAGAGAATCAACTTGTACATTAAGCTAAGAATATAAAAGAGAATGTTTAATTTTTGTCTCTGATATACATACACTCTGTTTATAGGTACTTGGAATTGCTTATAAGATTAAAAAACTTAAAGTAGAATTCAGCTAAATAATATATATATATATATATATATATCATATATGGTTTGGTGAGGACTAAAAGAATGACCCATTGTAAATGAAGAAATTGAGGTCCAAGGTTTGTCTTCATATGGAAGATGAAGCACAAAGTTGAGGGTATTAGTAAGAGAGATCATACGCACTACCAAACTTCTATTAAATTCTATGTATTTTCGTTTCGTTTTCTGATTTGTACAACTCCTTTCATTCGGGTCAATTTCTTAAACCAAACTTGACAAAGTTCAAAGAATCGTGTTAGATTTGTACGGCTATAATTTGATAGGCAAACTATTTTAATGAATAATTATTGAGGATTTAAAAGGCACTTGATTATAACTAGTTCGGAGTCATCTTTTGGTGCTTGGGGCGGGCCATTATACATGCTGGCGTTATTTCTGTTATTTAGAAATAAAATTCTAGTAAATTAAGGGGCCCTTCAACTTGTTCCCCGTGGCATAACAAAGGAACAAAAGAAAGCGAAGAAGAAAATATATAAGTAAATTAAGGAGAAAAAGACATGACGTGGCCGTCTGAAATGAAGCTGCAATTAGGGTCAACGTTGACTGACAGGGCGTGTCTGACAGGTCGAAAGTGGGAGTACTTTGGGCTTGCATTGACGCGAATCGTAATATTATTGATATATACGTGCATGTCATATTCCACCTGTATGTGAATATTATGGCTACAATGTTACGTCTTCCTCGCCGCATTAATTAAATTTCATACATATATACATGTGGAATTCTAGATCCCCGAATTGAATAATCCATTATAAAACAGCGCACTTTACAATCCCCAGTCTTACCATTAATTTTATAATTTAGTTTGTCTGTATTTCCACAAGGGGCACTCTGATTTCATGCTTTTTCTTCAAGCAAACTACTCCTTATTGTCCATCTCTCTCTCACTCTCTCACAAAGTCAATCTTCACCCGGCAAATTGAATCTAGAAATTGTATTTTCAAAATTTTATTTTTATAATTTTTAAATGAGATTAATTTAACACTCAAATATGGCATCTCTGCAGCTTGCAGATCAAACTGTTGATGTCTGTGTTGTTCTTGGTTGAATCCCAAGTCACAAGTTATTACGTGCCAAATTACCTGAATCCTGTGAAATTATATTTGAGCTTTCTGAAATGGTTGAAGACATGAAGTTGCACGCAAACTGATGATACTTCATGTACAACTTCACTAGTATCAAAGGCTTCGACTTTAGAGGATTCAGATTTTAAGTAATTAACCTTGTTGGATTGCTATTTTTTTTTCCAAATAAAAAGATGTTTTAAGTTACATGACTTTGTTCCTTATGTCATGAAAACATATAAATTAAAGGCTTAATTTATCATCAAATTGCCTGATTTTTTTACTGTAAATAAATGTATTATAGTATGGATTTTTTTTTGCCTTTTGAAATACAAGAGATCGATCATCTAGCCAGTAGCTACCAGATTACAGAAACAAAACCCAGTACATATCGTGATGAGAAAATTCTAAATCCCTTGGCCAGGGCAGAAAAGGGTCGTAGAGTCAGGGAAAACGGCAAGCCGTTTATCACTCTCAGGATTAGTTAAAAATAGAGACTTATAATTAGAGTTTAAATACGAAGGACCTAGAATCATTAGACATGTTGAACAGTACTAATAAAGATATAATAAATGATTAAAAAGTTATTTTATCTCTCTTTTTCATTCAGGCAATATTGGACCGTTAAATCTAATAATCACTCATGTGACGTGCCCCTTCGATTTTTAAAATTTTAGAAAACCAACAACTACCACAATAAAGCAAACTAAAGTGGAAAAATATGTGGTCACATGGCATTATTATTAGCCAAAGTGATTAGAAAAAGTGAAGTCATTTTTTCAAAGACGCTGATGTTACGTTGTTCAAAGTGTGGGGCATGAAAGCCGCCTCATTGGACGCTAACCCTGAGAAACTCATAATTAAATAAAATTCCTACTTGTATATTTCTTAAATCAAAACACTACTTACTCTCTTTAATTTTGATTCTGTGCTTCAACTTAATATAAAGGCACACACACATATATAAATACATGTAACTTTCTCACATGATAATCCATCTGATCATAAATACAGAAGCCCCTTGGTTTTACTTAATTCACATGATTAATAAAAGAAGTTAATTTAATTATTTAAAGCTAATATGTTAACAATTTGTGATAATTTCTATGAAAATACCATTGCCACTTCAATTAATTTCTTCAATAGTGAAAAAATGATAATTCGTGATAGCTTGGAGCATTTAGTTTGTTAAAGTCTCCTCATATCCTGAAAGCCTCGTCGATAATGTATCGGGGGTTCAAGTTACAAACAATATATTGATTTTAATATAATATTATTTCTGCCTCAAATTATAAAATATTTTTAATTTTTTTTTTAAAATACAAGATACTTTAGATAGATTAAGATTTCATTAAATATATTAATTTTAATATTCTTCTTTCTCTATTTATAATTAATTTTTATCCTTTTTTTTAATATATTAAATGATAGGTATTTTTAAAAATTTATATTTTTATTTTGAAAAGATAAGATTGTTAAATGTATTTAATAAAATTTATTGGTATATGAGATTTTATCTAAAAATATCTTATAACTTGAGATGGAGAAAAATTTGTAAATGAATAATGCTTGTGACCTTTGCGTAAGAATATTATGAATAGCGATTTGTTATTAGCAGTGGTGAAACCGTGAACATTTCTTGATTAGAAAAAAACCGTCAGCATTTATAATTGGATATATTTTTTTAGTCCTTTAATTAATTTGATCAGAAGAAAGAATATAATCATGATTCATGGCCGACCACAAGAAGGATTACATGCCCTACCAACTTCACCATACGAAGTTCCATGAATTTGTGTTCCCTTTTCTTATTTGTACAACTGTATGCTTGCTTTCGGGTCAACTGATTATAGCCAACACAACGAACTTGAAGCCAGTTAAATTATCAAATGAAAATAATAATGGAGAGACAGACATGGAATAATGATTCATTGTCTCCTTCCGAGAGTGACAGATTATTAATGATATGAATTCTTATATATTAAATCTCCATAATAAATACCTATGCATGTCTGATTTTATTCTCCATTGGTGTTAGATTTTGTTTTAATAAAATAAAATACGTAGTTATTGGAAACACATTGATTTTTTTTTTAATTTCACTTCCTATTATCCAATAGTGCAGAAAATTCAAATCCTTACCAAACACTTTCCTCGATCTTCTTAAGAAGAGAAAGATCGATGAGAACGTACGTGAAGGGTTCGTAGAGATACTATGCATGACAGCGACGACTTTGAAAAAAAAAAAAAAAAAGGCCCGACTTGGAGTATTATTTACTGGTAAGATCTATATTCTATAACCGATCTGTTTTATTCAATATTCTTGTTCTTTGGTTCGAACCTAAAGAACAAACGAAAGCAAACAACTAGATATGCCAACTCATCAATAATGGCCAATGCTGACAATATTATTGTTCTTGTCGTTCCTCCTCCTCTTCCGATTACGTACAAAAGAGAATCATGTATAGCCGTTTTCACGTTGTGTTTGGGCATTCCCAGACATTTATTTTGGCTTGGGTTTAATGTAGGGTTGGAAATTTGTTCTAGTTGAGTTTATTCGAACCGATCTGAATAAGTACGAATATAAGTCTATCCCTATTGTTTCAGGGTAACGGACTTCTTTTAAATTCAAGGCATTTCTAGTTTACTCCTTTTACGCAAATTTTAAATGACAAATATTTCTCGTAAATCATATATATATATAATGGCAAATCTATCAACATTTCAAGTTGATTAATTGAAGACACAAACACAAATAATAAGGTAAACAACAAATTCACAAAATAAGAAGCATCATTTGACTCTTTTCATGAAACCAAATCAAATTTGCTTCACCAATCCTTTTCCATATCCTCCTCATCATCCTTTTTTTTTTAATAAAAAAAGTTTAGATAAGTTTAAATATGTGAGCTCATCAAGATTAAAGCATACTTATAGACTCAAATAACACTTATAAAATTACTTACAAATCATTCACCACTACAGTTTTTACATCATTAAAAAATTTGATCTCTTAACTTTGTAAGTTATGAGTCTAATGCCGACAATGTCTTCTTTTTTATCTTAGTGAAAATATAAGTAATTAAAATGAGCTTATTTTGGTTAAACCAAACAAATCTAAACATATTTTAAAATCCAACATTAAATTTTTTTCGGGCCTAAATGGGCTAATCCATTAAGAAAAGCCCAATGTTTTGGCTATGGTAAGAGTTATTTAAATCTACATTGACTAAGAAAATGCAAGCATCAAATTTGCCTGCCATATTCGATTCGTATGTAAATATACTAATAACGCGTTTTCTTGAGCAGCTCATAAGCAAGTATGCATTTGCCGAGCATTGCCTATATGTACAGTACGAGGCTATATTAAGTATAAGCATCATGGCTGGGAGAAGTCTTTGTCTTTCTAGGCTTTATTGTGACAAATAATTGAAATCTTTTTCAACAAATCATAATGTTTTACTATAAAAGTTGAATGTAAAATACAAGAGAAGTTTGTATATTTATAAAATCTCATAAGTTATATTATTCTTAAATTACAAAAAATTAAAAGTTTTATCATAATATACTATCCACATGCTATTCATAAGCTTTAGGAAATAAAAAATTAATTAGTTAATCCCAACAGTTTTGACTTAATTGCAATTTAGTCCTTGAAATCTTTAAAATTTTAATTTGATTATAATTTAGTTTTTGAACTTTAACTTAATACAACTCGGTCTCTATAATTTTAACCATTTAAAATATTAGTCTATGTATTTTAGAAAATAAAATTAGAAAGATAAAATCTTTATAATCATTATCGAATTAAAATTTTTCATAATTTAAAATTAATCACTAAATGTCAACATACTTTTAGTTTTTAGAATTTTATTTTTAAGATATAAGGACTAATATTTGGATGGTTAAAACTATAAAGATTGAGTTACAGCAAGTTAAAGTTTAGAGATTAAATTACAATTGAATCAAAACTTTAAAAATTAAGTTATAACGAGTCAAAATTAAAAACTGAGTTATAACTGAATTAAAATTACAGAAATTAAATGATTAATCTTTCTTTTCAAAAATAATACAACTCACGTTCTCTCCAACATTGTTGCCTTTAACTTCTATCTTTCCTATATCCTTTCTCTTATTTGAAATTTTCATTTTTTTTTACACCAATACATCTTTCAATCAGAAATTTTGTATGAGGTTATTATTTATTATGTGCACTGCACATTAAAAAAGTAGTCAATTATTGGAAAGTTGCATGCGTGACTATTCACATCCAAGCACAAGAGTTTGGCGATCAAAATCAAAATTAACCATTGACTGGTCTGACCATAGTTAAACGCCTTTCAACAAACGCAGCCGGAACCATCATTGTTATGGATTTTCAGAAGGGTTTAAAACGAGGCTGATTGCGGACGACTAGAATAATTCTTTTAATTTTAACTTTTTTTTCCTTTTGTAAACTTCAATTTATATTAACGAACGGAAAGAGTATTTCCTTATATTGGCTAATAGCCAAACACATGCGAAATTAGGTCAACTGTTTATAGCGTGGTACTTCTTCACAAAGCAACAATCAATATCTGACTTTAGATGAACAGTTCTATTGAATTGCAGAGAGTGAGCTTCAACCCATCACATGACTTTCAACCATAAAAACGTTTAATGTGAGCAAATAAATCATGGAGATCCGTTTACAATCACTTGAAATCTCAAGTATCAATTTTGCCCTTTACATTGACAAAAGAAAACTACTTTAACCGGTCATTTTAACAATGTATATTGAACAACATGGGAAACTAAAATTTAAATTTGGTTCATGTGTTCCAAGAACCTCATTGTTTCAGTGGGCTCCCATCATTATTGCCCTTGGATTTGATACCAGGATCAGAATTTGACTCTATAGGAACATAACAATCCACTAGCCTTGTAAAAGCATGGCAAAATGACCAGATACTTAATATCATAAACTAACTAGTGAATTCATCAAGATCAAAGGGGAATGCAATGGGAAGACTAACAGAACATAACTTCTATTTAGTCTTCAACTCTTCATCTTGAAGAATCAGCATAATTCCGGATAATTACTCATCACCCCAAGTTGATGGCCCTCCCATTCCAATTTCAGATATTGGGTAAGATGGCGGCTCCACATTTCGCTTTTTAGAGCTCTTGCGCTTGCACACAGAGGGAACCGTGTCACCCACAAAATTCACATCTTTCAGTACTTTTTCAACAACTTCTATTTGGCCACCATGTTCTAGATCTTCATCATTGACGTTAAAAAGATCCACAAATGAAGCTTCAGCGTCATCGATGACATCAATTTCACTTTGTTTCCTATTCTTTGATCTCTTCTGTTTCTTATCAACCTTAGTAATATTCTCCTCAAAAGCCACACCCTCTTCTTGGGGCTTGTCATTGATTCTTAGCTTTTTCTTAATAGACTTTTTCTCTCTGTCATTTTTAACAGCGTCTATGGGACCGGCATTCTTTCCCTCTATGGCAGGATTTTTATGTTTCCTATCCTTATTCTGAACCATATTTTCATCAAGTAACGTGACATGCTTCTTGGAGACAACATCAACAGTTTTCTTCCTTTTCTTACTTGATTTCCTTCCTGTGGTTTCAAAACGATCATCCTCACCTTCGATCTGATGATGTTTCACATCCTTCTTTTCAAAGGCACTAGTATTTCTATCCTTTTCACCTTCAGAATCTGCCAAAAAATCTCCTCCATCAACCCTGTCTCTGTTCTCATTCTTGGTAAGTTTATCTACTGGTCTAGCATTGTATATCTGTAATTTTGGCAATGCTTTTTTAATCTGTCACATTATATGCATGACAGTTCATGTCAGAGAGGAAATTTTAAACTTCAACGTGAGAATAACAACAAATGATAAAGAACAATAAAAAGAAACTTACCTTTCTTGCTATTTTATCATTTCCAGCAATGGGATTTCCAAGAAGATTGAGATTTCTCAGATTCACCAGGAATCTGAGCACCTGCCATTGCATCACATGAACATGATACAAGGTAAAGACTATTCCCGATAATGATCAAAATTAAAAAAACATGGAAAAAATCCATATCTGCATGTCAAACCTTTATATCTGAGTATCTCATGAGCACATTATTCCCCAAATCCAAATTCAGAAGCTTAGAATTATGAGCTAATTCATCTGGAAGACTCTGAAAATCCAAGATTTAGTGAAATGTTTTAAACCACATAAAATGAAAACTGAGTTAAAAAAATACATGAAATAGCCAAGTACTCCCTCTTCTTTTTTTTATTATAACAGAAACTACCATATGCTTCATTTTTTTTTTTAATAAGCAAAACTACAAATTTCAAGAAGTATTTATTATATTTTTTCGAACTTGCCCCCATAAATGGATGGTACCATTAAATTAAAGAAAAAATTAAACATTAAATTACAAAGGCATTTTACTCCAAATGTTTCAATTTCAAACATATTTATTAGGATTAACTAACTTTCTTAAATTATGTGAGTTGGTTAAAATTTGAAAACAGAGGGAGTATTGAATAAAAAAATGAATTCAAAAGGGATTCCAAGGATAGTTACACTTCAAGACACACCTTGATCTCATTGTGAGCAAGGCGGAGCTCTTTCAGCTCAACACAAGACTTGAGTGAGGAGTCAATAGTCTGAAGCTGGCAATAAGAGAGAGAAAGCTTGGAAAGAAGAAATATTGTTACCTTCCAGAATACAGTTCATAAGCAATCCTTAGAGGAGCTCAATATATTAGAGCGCATTTTACCTTAGATATAGATTTCACCTTCATAAGAGCATCACCAAGTTTACGGATAGGATTTTTGGAAAGAACTGCAGGTGAAATCATAGTCATAGAAAGATTACTTTACATTCAAGTCAATAGAGAGTTCAATAATATGCAGAAAACAGACCCTATAATTCACATGGTAGGTTTGTGTGTGTGTGTGTGTGTTTGTGTTAAAAATAGATTAAGATCAGTTTATATATTGAAGCGTAAAGAAAAAGAAAACCCTATCATCATGCATGCGCAAGGTTAAGCAGAACAAAATGTAACTTATATCAAGTCAAAATTACAACCTTTTTTTAAAAATAAAAAAATTCATGATCTTATCCTGACTTTGCACATGAAACTTTTGTTTCCTCTCTTGCTTTCATGTCTTCAATTCAAGAATCATAATTCTCCTATCTTTTCATTTTTCATTTTTTTGACAAATAAAACAGCATTGAAAAGGATTGAAAAGGATGGGAATATGGGAAAGATTGTATCAAATTTCAAATGCTGTCGATTATGATAGGAACATAAAATTAAAGTGATACCAGTTACTAGCATTAATAGTACTTAAAGGGGGAAAAAAGCAAAATGAACCATACCAAGAGTGTTCAAGTTTTTCATCTGATCAAGTTTGCAAATGGAGAGAATCTCATTATCTACCCAACCCAAAAAGAAACGTCAGTTAAAAACATGGAGAAAGGAAATTAAAAGAAATCTGCTATTGATGTTAGTAGGTAAGATATCATGTAACAAGACTCACCATTCAAAATCACTGCTCTGAGGCTAACAAGAGACCTAACCTGATCCATAGATTTAAGCTTATTTTTTCCTGCATTTAATACCTGGTTGACAAATGTGAGTAAACCTGACTCTTATTTCCTCACGTAACTCATTAAACTTTACAAGAAAAACTAGCTCATAGGCAGCTGAATTCTCATGAAATTATTCAATTATACACATCAATGGAAATACGCCTGCGCAAACAAACAAATACATGAACAATTACTTAACCTCATAACACAAAACCTAGCAGTGAGTCGGTATTATCTCATCAGGCTCTAACAGGAGCTGTTAGATCCTAAAACCAATTATAACTAGATAAACACCTAACGTTTTATGTAAAAACAAAAATTTTCTCAGAAGCTTCAGCTGAAAAAGTATCGCCTTGAAATTAGGCGCATCGATAACTTGTCCATAGGGCCCTTATAAAGAAACACCTTACTGCAGATAAAGCAATAATATCCGTGGTTGAGTTCAATGCCTATAAGCACATTGAAATTCTAGCTTAGTATCACGAATAGAGTCAAGAGACTTAGTACATGAGACCAAATCACAACTATTTCAATAAAAGAACCTCCATCTTGTTTCTCTACATTTGGTCCACCGTGTACTTACAGTGAGCTTGGTAAGTCCTTGAATTCCTTCTAAGCTTTCTAATTTGTTTTCCACGACGGATAACCACTTCAAATTAACACAAGACCTCAACCCCTGTTGTAATGTGGGTGAAAACATTAGTCAGAAAGGCTCATAGCTTGGTTTAGAAATAAAACAAAACAAAAGGGAGAACACCTCAAGGGAAGTTAGGTTGTTAAGCTTAAGGTCAAGCTTTTCCAAGTTCTTGAAGTCGACCAATATTGATACCTAAGAATGTCCGATACGAAATGCAAAACCTTCAGAATAGTTATGCTCCAAAATCAGAGGATAAGAAAACCCGAGGGAAGTGCACAGAATCTTACATCGGAAAGAGCTTTATGATTGAGGTGAAGGGTGGAAATGGAATTGGGATCGCCGGTATTCTTTTCCTTCAATATCCGCTCCGAGTTCAGGCGAGTCATCGTTCCTGCACTATCCGGTCACTGATTAAACCGCCAAGTTTCTAAAGTCCTTCCAAACGAAAACCCTTACTTTTTACTTTTGCTGGGCCAATGCTTTTGGGCCGCAATTTTTCTGGGCCAGTTTCTTCAATCTTCATCATTTTTTAGTTGGTTCAAAATGAATTCCTTATCTTTATCCAAAAACAAAAACAAAAATTCCTTATTTATTCACCTCCTCCCTTTGTTGGTGCTGCCCGTTGCACCTTTAGCCAATTTGGTCGGAAACCTTTGGGTCGGGTTAAAGTGCTCTGGAAAACCGGCCTTCAACTCGTTTCAACTGAAAAGAAATCCAATTGACCTGTCAACAGCTTTCTAACTTTAGTTGAGTCTAAACATCATTCAAAAATTTGATTTTTGAAAATGTATATAAAAAAATATTGTTTGAAAGAAAATAACCCGTTAAACAGTATTTAAATTTCTTAAAAGATTTATTGACTATGAAAATACTTTGGATAAAAAACTTTCTAATTTTAGTGAGGACTCATATTAACATTTCAGGATTAGACATTATAAGGATAAGTTTAAAAAATTTTAATACGCATGACCTATTAAAAATTGGTGCAAATTATTCAAACAAAATTAATTATGACAAATGCATCTCTCACCATTTGGGCCAATACAGAAACTCTATTATTTACACTTTAGCTCATTGAGTGTGTGTTTGGATAAAAAAATTTATAACTAAAGTTAGAATTTAACTAAGAATAAAAAAAATAAGTCAATGAATGTAATGTGATTTATGTTTGGCTATTTTTTTTTTTTTGAAAAAAGTCAATTGAATAAACTGAAATTTGTTAGAAGAAGCAAACTAAATAGAAAAAAAAAACTCTATTTTTTATGTTTATTTTTACCAAACTGTTTTTTTTATGTTTGAATGCAACTGAAATTGATTGATGTTTTATTTGTTGGATCATTATATTTATATACTATAATTATAATTATCTTATAATATTACAATTTGGAATAGAATATTTAAAAATGGATAATTATTATAATATTATAATTATAATTATATTATAATATATTTATATTTATAATTATTCCTCCTTAGTCATCCCCTTCTTCTTCCTTGAACCGTAGAACTAGCAAGATGACATCAGAAGAAGCAAACGGAGTAGTAAAGTTCAAAACACAGTTGAAACAACAAGGCAATTGGGTGACCACCGCACAAAGCTCCTAAACGAGGGGGAAGATGAAGAAGAAAAAGAGCTGGAGTTGTGAATGCCATGATGATGAGAAAGACATTTAAGCTTGCCACAGAGAAGTTCTCAACTCTTGACAGCAAACAACACAGATCGCGATAGGCAAGCAACACAATCGACAGAAGACCTTCTTGGATGGCAACGATGGTGAGTACAATGGACAATTAAAGTGGCAGCAAGGAGAAGGAGGTGAAGAGCTTCAAGCAGAGCAAGGAGGTGGGAGGGGATTGGGAGTGTGCATACTACATAGATAGCCTGGAGAGAGGAGATGTTCACCCACCAAATCTCCAATGCATGTTAAGAAGCTCTTTTTTCCAGCTTCAACAATAACACTCATTCAAAGGCCATTGCTCGTTCACTCATTTTTTTTTTCCAAACAAGATTTTAAGGCATTGAATATCTCAACTTAGGTTTGTGCCATCCTAACCTAGGTTGAAAAATTATCCAAACACACTCTGAGTTATTTTCTTTATATGATTTGCAGGCCGATCACATCAAGGGATTAAATAAGGGTGAAGAGTTATTCATCCATTCTACCCCACATTCTAAAAGAACAAGAAATGTTCAAGTTATGTAAACCCTTTAAATATTAGGAAGAATTTCATTTAACGACCTGGGTAGCAATATATCCTCTAGTAGGTCTAAAAAAATTTCAAAACCTCAGTTCAATTTGCAGGGACTAAATTGAAAATAAGATGAATGTAGAAAAAAATTACAATACTCTCAGTTCAAATATTAAAAAAAAACATCAACCACCGTCGCCAAAGCACAACCGTCGGTGATCGAAGCCTCGTCGATGACAGCAACCACTAGACCTTCATCGAAGCTCCGGCTAGACCACCGTTTGGTGGTGGCTGGAGAATTAATTTCTCCAAAAGTGGCCAAGGTAAGGTGTAAAACTTAAGAATCCTTGGTTCACCAAAAGGTTTTGGACCACTAAGCCACCCAACGCATTTAATCATATAATGCATAAAATTATATATATAATAAATCTTGTTTCCAAACCATTTGATTATTACATTACTTGTTAATCATGTAATTTTACTTGTTAATACCTTAACAGAACTTGTTAATTACTTAACTTTCCTTATTAACTCTACGACTCCTGCAACAGAACTAAATTACTTATTAATCGCGTAACTATTCTTGTTAATATTTTAATAAGACTTGTCAATTACTTAACTCTTCTTTTTAAGTTTGTGACTCCCACAATAAAATTATATTACTTATTAATCACGTACATATAATTGTTAATATTTTAATAAGACTTGTTAATTACTTGAATTTATTTATAAAATCTATGACTCCTTCAACTGAATTGCATTACTTGTTAATAATGTGATTTTATTTGTTAATTATGCAATACTTGTTAATTACACAGCTTGACTTGTTAATCATGCAACTTCACTTGTTAGTGCCGTGACTCCCTCAAAATTATTTGTATAATAAATCTTATTTTAAAACCTATTGAGTATTATGATAAGAAGTATACTTGTTAAAAGCCCAATATAGTTTATCACTTCTTCAATTTTAATTGTTAATATTATATTTGTTTGTTAGGGTAATGCTCTCTCTCTCTCTCTCTCTATCTATATATATATATGCTTATATAATTGAATATCTAATTTGATGAATACTGATAAGAGAGACTCGACTATCATCGCTTTCGTTACTTGACAAACTCAATTTTTTATATAAATTATATATTCATTTAACAAGTGACAATAGATAATTAATAAGTATTGTTGAGGAATTAACAAGTAAAGTTATATAATTAACAAGTAATTTAATTGCTTTTTTGAAATAATAGTTAAATAAATCTTGTTATGGTATTAACAAGTCAAGCTATGCAATTAAAAAATATTATTGTGCAATTAATAGGTAAAATTACATGATTAACAAGTAATGCAGTTTAGTTGACGAAATCATGAATTTTACCACTAAATTCACGTAATTAACAAATCATGTTAAGGTGTTAACAATTACAATTACGTAATTAACAAGTAATGTAGCTCTCTTGCCAGAGTCACGGACTTAACGAGAAGAGTTAAGTAATTAACAAATCTTATTAAGATATTAACAAGTATAATTACACAACTAACAAGTAATTTAGTTCTGTTGCAATAGTCGAGGGGTCAACAAGAAAAATTAAGTAATTAACAAGTCCTGTTAAGGTATTAACAAGTAAAGTTACATGATTAACAAGTAACATAATAATCAAGTGATTTAAAAACAAAATTTATTATATACATATATATATATATATATAATTTTATGCATTATATGATTGAATGGGTTGAGTGACTTGACAGTCCAAAACTTTTTGGTGAACTAAGGGATCTTAAATTCTACACCCACCTTCATTACCTTTCGAGAAATTAATTCTTTATAATTCTCCAACCATCGCCAACGGTGGTCCAACAGTGGTACTCTGGCAACAATGGCTGGTGATTTTTTTAATATTTCAACCAAGGGTATTTTGGTCTTTTTTACATTCAAATTATTTTTAATTTAATCCCTAAGAACTGAATTGAGGTTTTGAATTTGTTAAGACCTACTAAAAGATATGTTGCTACCTAGATCCTTAAATAAAATTCTCCCTAAATATTATCATAAAGTTGAATTTCTGAAGGTATATATGAAGGGCATCTTTAAATAAAAAAACCACAATTTGAAAAACTTAAAAAACAAAAAGTTCTAGGGAAAGAAGAAAAATCTAGCATCAAAGCCTAAGCTTGTAAAAGAAATTGTGTAAAAGGAATTATTTAAAAAAATAGCAATAGCGTAAAAGGAAAAATGAAATATATGGAGAAAATATATCCCAGAATACATATAAAAGTTGCCGTTTAGGTTTTCAGTAGTCAAGAGTGATGATGAAAATGGTGCGCAAAACAAGTCGCATGAAATAACAACCAAAAGCATGAATCCTTTAATATACTACTCACTTCGCCTATGTCAGAATGCAGCCCGCATAACGAGATGCTCCCATGTCTAATTGGCACACATTCCATGATGTTTGAGGAGTTGCATTATGAGATGTATTTTTCCTGCTGTTCTTGAAGGAGCCTGGCCGATGATTTGGCATCCAAATATAACGAGCAAACTTCTTCAAGATCTGCCTATAAATTACACAATTCAAATCATACTCATGTAGTTGATGATAATAGCATAATAATTCATTCAAGAACCTAATTAAGCATAAATCATAAACACCTTGCAGATATTGTCTCGACCATTCATTTTGGCTACAATGCTGGCCGGGGACAAAAGCTGAACCGCGTGTCTGATAAGCCAGTATAACTTGTAAGTACCCAAGGAAAATGAAGTATTGCACCTAGGCCTATTCTACTGGACTGAAGGCTAATTTCAGATCGATTTTCAGCAGAACAAAATTCTGAAGACGTACCTTAAAGATGTCCTTTGTCCAATTTCCCCAAGGTAAGCTAAACTTTCCTCGTCCACACCCAGCTCCTCTACTTGAGCACGGATAGCTAAAATCTGTCTCAAATGCAATGAGCACATACGTTAGTGTAACTCAGATTCTACAATACTTTCAATTGTCAGAGGTTTGTTCTTGAAACAGAAGCAGCCCACTTAAATGCATCGCAACCTGTATCATCTCAGCAGGGCCATAGGTTTGGGTCCGAATTATCACCAACCGATCCAAAAGGTCAACAGGTATGCCATGAGGACTAGTCATATCCGTGCCTCTGCATAACAGGGCAATTTATTTAACATGTCAAGGTTGATCGTGGAGTAGTAATGAAAATACAACCAATCAACACTACAATTA